CGGACACATAACTGTGTTAAAAATATGCCTAAATGTATGCCCGATGTATGTACAATTAGTTTTAAGCTCGCACTATTGTAATTTTTGAGAAAATGAAAAATAAAGTATAGCGTGGGTGAGGTAATGGATCGCTGGCCAGCTCAGTCCTAGCATATAAAATTCGAGTCGGAACATGCTCCGACATGCATTCAGCGACAGGCGCTCCTACCCTAAGGAACAGGAAGAAACAATCAAGCGGTTCACTCTGGACCTGAAGCCTCCTCTCACCGGCCATCCATTATCTGATGTTATTTTGTGTGTTTTTACTTCTTCTATAAAACGGTATATGATAGTTAGGCATTAAATGAATATAAGTAGGTTTTTTGAGACTTTTTAATTTGTAAACTTTATAGGGCCGTAGAGCTGTTGTTTATTGATATTCTTGTAAGAAACTTGTTGTATTAGATAGGTAACACGTAGGGCTACGTAAATAAATAGGTATCACATCAATAAGTGTAAAAATGTACCGTGTAGGAGACAAAACATGTTTGTATAGAACCGTTTTCTGAGACATGTTGCGCTCCCCACCCGGCGCGATCGTTTAGATAAGGTCTTATAAGATTATTGGAGAGAACGGGGCGGAACATCGCTCTGAACTATCAATTTTACAATGGTTTACTATGGGCAGAGCTATCTATTATTGCGATATCCGACTCATTCTAATAAGACAACAAGGGAATGATATTTTTAATGCGTATACAACCGATTCATGTGAAATTATAGATACATTTTATAGATTAATCTTGTTTCGACGTAAGATCATTTCTTCTCGCTTCGGTCGTAAGGCGGTCGTCTCGTACAGTATTTAAATCAATATGTTCTTTTATTATTCATATTCAATGTAATTTAAAAATCCCGACAATCTAAAGATCCGGGAAAAGTCCGGCCTATAGTCTAAAAGTCCGGTAATGTCCGGACTAAATCGGACGGATGGTAACCCTAAGTGCAACCCATGTTAATCGAACCGGTATTTAACTGAACAGTTAAAGTTAGTTAGTGCAAATCATGCTTAGTATTCGTCAGTTTATAACGGATTTTATTAATATAAAGTTAAGTTACTGCGAAGTACGCAGGTACTTTATAATGATTTGCATAATTATGACGTTTTATTTTGAAGGGTGTTTTGAGTACCCCGGCAAATTTGAAATTCTAGAGACATATCATATTTTTTTCAAGTACACATAACACAAAACTGTAAAATTAAAAATAATCGTTTTACCCAGGGCCTAGTCTATTAATACCTTGTAAAAGGCAAAGGTTAACGTCTAACAATAACAATAATCCCTTAACGTTGGTCGCACCGCCGATCGTCGTAGCAATTGAGTAAAAACAAGCTAATTTAAACGTAACCTCGTCACGTTTCTGCTAAACACACTTTATTTAAAAGTCTTATTGATTCGTGCTGCTAATAAACTATTTAAATAATTATATTTTTCTGAAACACATAAATTCAAAGAGGGTCAGGAGGCCTACTTTATTTCAACGAAAAACCAAATTTCGATTGAATTTTCGCACGCTCCTTACTCTGTTTCTTCATTTCGAAAATTCGTTCGTCCAAAAATAGTTTGACTTTAAATTCTCCAAGCCTTCTTACTCTAATTCACAAAACTTTCGAACGAGAGGTTGAATTTGACACATAATTTTTAGAAATTTTAATCTTAAATTGATGAAATGAATAGTGTTTAGAGCTGTAGCAAACCGTATGTATTCGGTACTGAGTAACGGGTACGCCATCTAGTACCGAGTAACGAAACGTTACACACAAATAAATTTCGTTACTCGCATTTTTCGTAGTATGATGTAGATGATCTATATGTTTCAGTTTACGCAAGTACAGTTGATGTGTGTATAGAAACATTTGCTGATCTTATGTATTAAGCATATGCGAACATATTTGGAGAATTTAAAAACGTACGTTGGAGTTTTTGGCGGGATTTCATCGAGTGCGGTTGGCGTCTTATTTTAATTATTCCTAAATTCGTTCATAGTGGATGTTGTGAAATAAAATTGGCGTGATTTTGTGTTACAACCGTCTGCGTACAGTTTGTTTATAAAGTCGTGACATGAATGTTTGAGGAACTAACATTATTCATGTGTCTGGCAACACCAAACTTATGTACATCAGCTGTCATCGAGTTTCAGTTGTGGAACAGTTTTCCTTTTGTATTTTTTATTGTTTGGATTAAACTGTAATAAATTAAGACGAAACTACGCAGAAAGCTATAAAAATGAGTAAAGTAAATCGGAGCGGCACGCGGGAAGTGATTTTTAAAGTTTTCCAGCAATGTTTCGAAGACTACCAAGCTGGACGAATTTTGTGGGATTTGCATGATGTTTATGGGCGAACAGCATCTATGACGGGTATGTAATCGTGTAACTATTTGTTTGTAATCTGCCTGAAGTTCCAAATTTACGCAATTTACGATTTTGAGACCAAAAAAGGCATTGTTTACATTGCACATTTTTAGGTTAGATTGACATTGTAAATAGGTAATATTGTAGTACGGCCATTTCTTTTGATACATTATTATGGTTCAACTCGGTCAGGTTTTCTACCAATTTTGAATTAATTGCTTCATGTCAATAAGTTATTGTTTCTATTCCGTTACATATTTTTTTACTTTTTTTCAAGAAAATCAGAGAATCGGATAGTCAACGAAGGTTTTAAGAATGATGGAAAGTTTGAAACTCCTGGGAAAACAGGCAAGGCCGACCAAAGAAAGAAATGGTCACATAAAGAACCATGGCCAGATGCTTTTAGTGAAGATACCTATCACTAATTTTACTAACTGCACATTTACAAATTGTTTCTCTAAATAAACTTTTTATATACTATAAAATGATTTTGAGTATTATTTTCTTAACAAGTGTGTTAAAAAACGTCGTATGATGATACTTGTGTGTATTGATGATTACCTAACGGCTCTGGTCTCAATGGCACCTCAGTGGTAATCACCAACATTACACACTTTTACACTATAAAGTACTATTTTATCTATAATAATTTTATTCTGATTCAATTAAATATGCTTGGCTAAACTTTTTATAAGCATAGGTACCTACTGTATATAAAATAGAAACAAAATACGACTGTATAGTGTGTCTTATTAATTACCTATTTACTTGAATGAACTGCTAGTATCAAAATCATTTTGGTCCGACTGTATTGCTACATGCATACTAGTGGCGCCATCATTTAATGTCACAACTTTATAGACAAACTGTAACTGAGGAATTAGTGGAATTATTAAAATATACGCTATTCCGGTCAAATGGACGTGAGAACTTTATTGTCGAGTTGACTACCTCACAGAAGCTTATCGAAAAAGCAAACTTGATAGATTTCGTTTAAAATAATTTTATTTTTTTTATAATTTTATTTTGAGAACAAAAGATTTTTGTAGTAGTTCTTTCTTTCGCTATGTTTAATTTCATTCTAAGCAGAACTATTTTTATGTTGATTTATCGTTAGAATGCTATTTAAGTATTATTATCAATACAATAATTTTCGAGACCTATTTGCTTTATCATTATAATTGATGAATAATGGATTGCGATGTTATTGTGAAATAACATAAGCTCACGGATAAAAATTTCAAAATAGTAAAACCGATTTTTTTATGAGGAGTAACGTAACGATACTATAGTAACGAGTACTAATTGTTAAACTAACGAATACATACGGGTACGCTTTTTTTCGTTACTTTTACACCTCTAATAATGTTTTGTTGTTTTAAACTTTCATGGTCACTAACATTATAACTATTAACGGGATTGTAACCATGTACTATCGCGGAATTTTGCGCTCTGCCACATGGCGAATAAAATGCTTTGAACGGTTTTTACTACGCCCCGCCTTCGCGTCGGACGCGCCAATCCGGGCCGCCGCCGCACAAAAGTAACACAGAGAGCATTTCATTGATTGAATAATGAATTGAATTGCATTTGTTTTAGTTGCAATATGTCATCCGCATCGTGATCGCGTCAGCGCTATACGAAAAAGTAAGACAGCGATAATCGCTACCGCAAGCGATTATGGCATTATGGGTGACAGAGCGGGTCTTTCCGCGAGTGTACCTTGTTTTTTGAGTCCGATATTTCGGCACTGTTGCAAGCGCCATGATCACGGAGTAACTGAAGTAATTGCTGGTAGATGTTATGGGCAGACATATCGGTCTACCCTCTGACGTCGTCTTTTACTGTACTCGATATCTCATTCTCACTATTCACTCGCACCTGTTCCCGACACACAATACTCATAGTATCAGATCGCGGAACGACACTTATTTGATTTTTGCGGTTTTTGCACATACGAACCACTGGATTTCAGACACTTGAAATTTAAACCCATCCAATCGCATTTCAATCGCTTCCCTGACCAATCTTGTTATGTAGTGGCGTTCTGCGAGATGATTTGTTGATTATGGAGCTCAATCGCGGAACATTCAATCGATTCGGCACGCTTCGTTTGGCCAATATACGAACTACCACAGCTACAGTCGATCTTATATACACCAGGTTTCTCCAAAGGGAAGTTGTCTTTGGGAGATGGTAGAAACTGTGACACTTTTTGTAAAGGACTGAAAACAGTATTCAGTGAGTATCTTCGAGATCTTGTCTGCCGTACATGCCAATAACATCTACCAGCAATTACTTTAGATACTCCGTGATCATGGCGCTTGCAACAGTGCCGAAATATCGGAGACTCATAAAAAATAAGGTACATGGTAACAATCCCGTTAATAGGTATAATGAATAGTGTTACCTTTTCATTTTCGTTCTGGGATTTTTGTTTAAATAAAGCCTTAAATAACTGCTACAGTATTTTTAATTAAGGTTGCTTAGCGTGAGGAACGTTTTTTAGTATGTAAAATTAACAGTAGAGCTCCAGGTGCGGTACATCGATTATTGTTTTTTTAAATATATCGAAATTTTATAATAACATTTTTTTATTTTTCTAGAGATGTGCGTAAGAGCAATGAATAGCTTAGCTAGTGCGGGCTTGATTACTATGGACGAAGCTAGTTGCATAGCTTCAACAGAAGCTGGGCGACTTATGTCCATCTTCTATTTAGACTTAGAGACGATGAAGTTAATAATGAAGGTATTTTAATATTTCTTATATATTAATTTATAATATACTTACCTGAGGTAATGCCATTGGTCTAACTAAACCAACCCAACCAGAATATAGAAAAGATTTTGAATTAATCTTTAATAGCTCCAAGGCGACGAAACACTGGAACAGCTACTTTCCGTTATATGCGAGAGTCACGAACTAGCCGACATGCATTTGCGCGTCGACGAGCGTAGATGTCTCAACGCGCTCAACAGAAACAACAAAGCGGCCACCATACGATTCCCCATGAAGGGAAAGATTAGCTCCAGGCAGATGAAACTTAGCTGGTAAGCGATTTATCATCATTATCAGCATACTAATGTCCCCGCTGCTGGGGCATCGTAGGTGTCTCAACGCGTTCAACAGACAAAGCTCGGCTGCCACCATACGATTCCCCATGAAGGGGAAGATTAGCTCCAGGCAGATGAAATTTAGCTGGTAAGAAACTTATCATCTTTAGCCTATTAATGCCACCACTGCTGGGATTCCGAAGATATCTTAACGCGCTCAACAGAAACAACACGGCAGCCACCATACAATTCCCCATGAAAGAGAAGATTACAGTTCCAGGTAGATGAAACTTAGCTGGTGAGCGACAACATTCTCATCAACATTAGACTGTTAATGTCTCCACTGCTTTGCTGGGGCACATGCTTTCCTCATGGATGGAATAGGGTGATTGGGCTACGACACACCACGCGGGATTGGTGGGTGCTAACCACCCGGGACTGTTGCAGCCGGAACCAACGGCTTGAAGTGCCTTTTGAAGCACGGAGGCCCTCAATATACTAAATTTTAGGTCACCCATCACATGACTGGCCACTGCGAAAGTTGCTTTTCTTGAACGATTGCAGCCGAACGTGCTCACCACTTGCGCCATCGAGCTCCTCAATCTCATCATCATTAGACTATTGATGTATTTACTGCCGGAGCAGGAGTTCATTATGGATGGAATAGGGAGAATGGACCCGTGACCTAACACGAGGGTTGGTAGGTGCTTACAACTGTGCAGCCGGCACCAACGGGTTAAAGTGCCTTTCGATTCACAAAAGAGCCGAGATAAAAATTTTTTAGTCGCACATCATGATCGGTCATTGCGAAAGTTGCTTAACTTCCACAATCGCAGACAGCACTCGCTAGTCACTGCGCGCCATCGAGCTCCTCATCCTAGATACCTCAATTTAGAGGATTATTTCTATGTAAAAAGGGTGGCAAACAACTTGGTTTGACTGATAGTAAGCGCCCGGAATTTATTTATTTAAAAGGCTTACCAACACTTAAGCAATTATAATTATAGACACAGAGAGACATATTATATCAATGTTACAATTAATTATAGGTAAACACCACATTTACCATATCTATATCAAACAGTATGTGTTAAAATTTTACCTAACATACCCTAACTTATATGTTATTTTGTCCAAAAAAAATTGCCTGAGATGCTTGCGATACCAAAGTATCACTTGCGCCATTACCTCATCTGATCCGTTTCTCTACCCCGTGAAATCCCGGTATCTTTCTCATCGATACGATACTTCTAAAAGATAAAGGTGGTAGGTATTTCACGGGAAGATCTTACGCCTTTCTAGGTGATCTTTAATTAGGGGGTCGCAGCCGGACTGATGTTAGTTGGGCATTGGAGATATGAAGAGTTAGCCTCTAAATTTATATTGCACGATGTAGACTTCCATACTTTCAGTGCAGCGCCGGTAGCGCCATTAGTTGTTATGGAGCGTCAAAACTTACTTCGTTAATTATATCTGGGGCGTGTAGATATCGCCAAACCACTAATAGAGACCACCTTCATTATCAGTTTATTATACCTACGGATTAATGGGTCCTAACGACTGCAAACGGGGCCGGGGCGAAGTGCCTTTCCAAGAAGTACAGAAAAGCTCAGGCTCAATAAGTGAAGTATGTAGGCCACGTCAGAGGCCTGAGCAAGAATTGTGACAGCTCCGTAATCATATCGTAAATTCGTCAGTTTAAAATTTTGAATGGAAGTTTGTTACGTCTTACGTCTGGTAGGGGCGCTTCTTAGTTTTCATAGAAACTTTGACGATGCTATATGATTATGGAGCTGTTAAAATTCGTGCTAAGGCTCTGCTACTGAATACGTTTTTTTCAAAAAGTTATAGGTATTAATAAAATTAACGTTCCAGTATCATTCAAGCTGTACTCGGCTGCCTACCCATTCTTGACCCATCCTTGAACCAAGAAGCAATGAAAATTATGAGAGTCGCAGTAAGAATTTGCAAATGTAAGAACTTACGTCGTAATATCTTCCTATGTGTATCTAACTGAATAAACATCACAGAATTGGTACCATTGGTACATAGAAAACGTTTTTACTGCCGTTTTATGACATTCCTTAGGTTTAAATATGGTAGTCCTAGTTAGATATTTACCTAAAGCTGTTCAGTTACGCACGCCAGACAATCGATTAGCGACTTGACCTTAGCAAAATGAAATTTTCATATTATTTTATCGTTGAAGTGAGTGTCGGATCAACTTTCTGTCATTTTTCTGGTCGAGATGATTAAAATAAGGCCGATTATAGAACCAACAAAAACTCAAAAATGACAGAGCAAAGCAGTATTACAAGAAAAAAGGGAAATTTAAGACTTTTCTCTGCTTCAATGAATATTCAAAGAAAAAGGTTTTATTAATTTGACTACGTATTCACGTTATTTGAAGCATCCTGGCATGATTATTAACGTTCCAAACATAGATGAATGAAACATAGATGGTTCCAAATTAAAAATTTGAAATTAACAAAAGGAAAATAATGATTATTGTGGATTATTGTAAAAATTGCTTTACTACAAAACGATTTTATACTGATTACTAAAATTTTAAAACATTTTGGGTATTTCCTGCAAATATACAACTATATATACTACAATTTAATCTTTCTTTTTACATTAACTACCACTTTCTGATAAAGCGATAAGGGCCGGTAAAGTTGGAAGAAGGTTGTTCGCTAACTTACTTGTCTCAGCGGCCAAATGTGAGTCTTTCTACTATCCAGAGGACTTGGTAACTGTATCAAGAGATCGGTTCGGTCAAAAGAAGACCGGTTCGAGAAAAAAGCTATGCGCAAAACCAAGAGACGACCGCTTTTTGGTGAGGCGTTGCGGAGTCGTAAGGCGTCAAGTGCGGACCTGAAGAAGAGCCTTGTAAGAGGAGTAAAAGTAAGCTTGTGGAACGTCAGGAAGAGGCTTTTGGCTGCCAATATCAGGATTTACCGCCCGGCCCAGGGCCCTAAATTACTGCGCGAGCACCATGTTGCTCGACTTCACTTTGCTCGAAACTGTGCTTCATGGACTCTGGAGGACTGGAATAAAGTATTGTTTTCTGATGAAGCTAGAATCTCTTTGTATGGAGAGGACCGACGCCGGCGAATGCTGCGAAGACCACGGGAACGCTATGCGGAAGTTTGTTTCGAAGAAATCACTCCTTATGGCTGAGGCTCTGTTGTTTTAGGCAGCAATTAATTCGGCGGAGCGTACGGAGTTAGTTTTCATAGAAAATTGAACATTAATTGCACACTAATACATAAGGGAAGTCCTGCACAACCTACATTGACTGCACTTAAGGAAGATTCCATTTTTATGGACGACAATGCTCGCCCACACCATTCTGGCGACGTGGAAGTACATGCAAGAAGTTAGGATCCGATTGGTCAGCTCGAAGTCTTGATCTCAATCTAATTAAACATGTCTGAGATATTCTAAAGAGACGGTTAAAATCAGTTCAACCTGCAGTTCAAAACACCAGGCAGCTAAAAAGAATCATTTCAGAAGAGGGTTCGTTCAAAACGTTATGAAAATCATCGTGGAAAGCATGTCCAGAAGGATTCAAGATGTGATTTCGGCAAGAGGAGGTCCAAGTCGTTATTAGGTTTTTACATTTGTAACTTAATTAATAAAAAAAAGTAAAAAAAACTTCTTTTCTAAGTAAAAAACCTTCGCTTTTATTGCCGACCACTTCTTATTTTTTGGTCGTTTACATCGGCTTTAAAGAATTCATCCAAGATAAATAAAAACAAATTGCCAGAATTCACTACACGCGTATTATATTACACGATTATAAGTATACAGACTACGTCAAACAATTAAAGGACAATGTTAAAATTGGCCTAAGAACCAACACCAATTTGGCATTTATGATAATTCTTAGTATATTTTTTGCGATAATTATCAGTATTTAGATTGTAACGGACACTTCCAGTTAAGTAAGCTAAATTAACAAGTTAAAAAATAATCTGAGACATTAAATACCATTTTATGTGTATAATCTATGGCAGCGCTGCAAACAAGACACTCTTTCTTCCTAATGCCGGCACTTCACTTGGCTATTCGTATTTGCTATTTTAAAACATGACATCAGTCTGTTCTTTTCATTCCTTATTAAGCAGTACAAGGACAAACTTTTGTGAAGTGCCTTCAGTTGCCGGCATAAAACTTGTTACTCTGTGGTTGTGGTGCATGCAGTTTCATAGTAATCTGTGGCATTCGTGCATTCCAAAGAGTAGTTTATACTCTTTGGAATTATTATATATTATACCGGAAAGTGCATTCTCGTTTCGGATTACCTGTTGTATATGTTTATTTGCGATTGTTTTTCCTTTAATTTAAATATTTCGGCTATCTAATATGCCATCGATGTTACCAAAGAGCACCGAGCAGAGCCCTTATTACCAAGTGCTAGTGAACCTGTGCCACAATATCCTGAGAGGATCATACTGCCAAATTATTCAAGAACACATGTGTTATACAAATAAATACAATAAACAATATGATACATTTATGGAAAAAATAGTCAATAAATAAGAAGCAAAACTACAATTTTTATTTTATTCATGATTCCTACCTAACCAAGTTTCTCCTAATAGTTAATTCTTTAAAATCGCACCGAATAAAATGAATTAGTTATAATATTAATTCACTTCATACTGAGTTTATACTAAATTCATAGGTTATGAATGTTATTATTTATGTTTCATTGAATATTAAACATAACCTCAAAAAAAAAATTGAATTTTCCTAATATTTTAAGTTCTCAGAAGTGTCCGTCAATAATATTTGTTTTTACAGTCATTTACTTACGATTTTGAACCTAGAAAATAATTTTTCATGATTGTTGGTTCTTAGGCTAACTATGTATGGACGCTGAACAATGTCCTTTCATTAAATTGCATGTTTTTTTGCAAAAGAGTGTAAAAGAACACCTTAGTAGAGTCAACCTGTTCTTTATATCTAGTGTATGGTCACAATTAAGAAGAGCCACGTTCGTTATATTCTACAAATACCTATTTGATTATAATACGTCATATGATTCTCAGTAGCTAAATGACTATAATTCAATGAGAAAGCATGCTTAGGGTAAAAATCTAAGTAAAATTTGTTAATTTAGAAAAGTTGTGCAAAAGTGTTTAATAAGGTTTTTCTAATACACAGGTCTGGTGGCATATGTAACGCGCCCAGAAGTGACGTCTGAACAAAGAGAATTCTTTAATGCTTTACTTAACTCACTAGTTCTCGCTAAATGTGTCGAAGCCCATTTATGGGAAAACTCGCATTTCATCAGCAAACAGCTGAAAGGTATCGGTCCAACATTTAGCACGCTCTTGGCATCGGCCGGAAAAGTTACTTTCCTTCTGTTGGAAGAAAGCCACCCAAGGGATTTGGAAAGAGTAAGTATTTTCATAAAGGGTTCACTAAACTGTTCAAAAAATAGCCATAGACTAAAGACTAAGACAAGAAGGCAAACGCTCTATATTAATGATATCGTAAAAAAAAATCATCTGATATAGAAAGTTTTCAAGTTATACATTTTTGCTTTAAAGTTAATTGTAGTATGGATTTTAGATTATGAATAAAGGTCCACCAGCAGGCAACATTATAAGAAAACAAATAAGTCTTCTACCAAAATACCAACTAGAAACTACGCCTATTGATGAGAAGACAGTATCGATTCAACTCCGATTGTTAAATCAGGCTTATCTTTCTGAAAACATTGAGGACCTCACAGCAGGAAACGCTCACAAATGCTACGTAATCGCTGGCGATTCTAAAAATAATATTATGCTCTTTAAAACATTCAAGTAAGTAAAATTAATTCGCACTATTTATTTTTTATCTTAACATTTCCACTGTAGATAAGTATCAGTAATTTTTGCTTTGGCGCATTTTTTTTCAGGGACACAGATTTGATCAGTGTCTATAATGGGATAATGACATTTGAAATAACAAGAAACCATACTTTTGAGCATAAACTTTATGTCCACTGCATCAGTGCTACATTTGGTAAGTTCACTGATAATAGAACTAGTGGGTTTTTAATGATTTGCAAAATAATTGAAATAATCTTAAGTAACATATTATTATGAGTTTTTGTACCTTTTCAGTTGGTATTGACGCACGTTGTGAATATACCTTTATGAAACAAATGCCAACGACTTCGGATATTTCCTCGTTTTATTTCCAGAATAATAAGACAGAAAAGAACCTCATAAATACCAATAAAATCGAAACAAATGAAAGAAAACGCAAGAACGATGATAATATAATGAAATCTAAAGAAAAAAAGAAACGTGAAAATGAATTCGCTGAAAAGTGCAGGTTACTTAAAAAGTCTTTTGATAATACATCAAACAAAATTAAAAATGATTTACGCGAAACCGAAAAGAAAACCAAGAATACTTTGAAAGGTCTTGTTGATACATTTAAACCTGATTTGTGCAACAAATCTGAGGCCGGTCTTGATTCTAACAAAGATTATTTTAACGAGCTTGCATCTCTGGACAACAACTTAAATATTGACGACTTTGAAGATCCCATGGACAGCCAAAAAATTAACAGCTTACTGAACGATATTGAATCTGAAATAATAGGTAATAATCAAGTTTCTTATAAGGGATTTAACGAGGTTAAGACAGTTGAAAATAAAAAACAAACTAGAAGAAACGAGTACAAATACAAAGAATCGAAACAGCCCTATTACAAATTCATAGAGTTACTTGAAAGAAATGTGGAAATGAGCGAAGACGAAGAACCGCCTGAAAAGCAAAATGGTTTTTCAGAAACAATTAAAGATCAACTTGATAAATATTTACAAATTTCTCGTAATGTAGCTATATCTTCTGATCCTATAGTATCACGTCTTTGCAATGATGAACAAGATTTGGTAAAGACCCAATGTAATAGCGTAAATGTCAATACAGAGGTGTTTACAAACGATGATGACCCTACGAACAATATGGGAATAACAATTACTGATAAATGTCTTAAACATTATATGATGGTAAATACAATGCAGGTCGAATCAAAGGACGACCAAACAAGCAGAAGCAATAGAAACACATCTTCAGCAATAGATAATGGTATTGAAACATCAAAGTGTCTGGATCTATTCTCAGATGTAATTGAAAATTTAAGCAATGAAAAAGTTGAAATTGAATATAATAACCAGGATATAAAAGCAAAACATAAAAATTCACAAAATCTAAATATCTGTACATTAGAAGGTTTTAATAATTATCATCAACAAAATACATTTCTTGAACATAATGCCAAAATTATGCAATTACTTCCATTGGTACACTCAAATAGCTTGATTTTACGTGATAGTGATTTAGCTCGTAACTGGGTAATTAAGTCAAATAAGATTGTTAATAATCACGCTGATGCAGAACATAACCGATTAAATATTCATGATGATATAGTTACAATGCAAAACAATTATAAAACAGATTACGTGACAAATAAATATAATACTGCAGTATTAAGAGAAGCATTAAAACAAAAAGAAACTGTACCCTGTATATCTACAAATCAAAAACATCAAAAAGGTCATATAGAATTAGACGAAACACATTCTGACTTACCGGATATTAGGAAAATTTGTGGCAGTCACAATATTGCCAAAGAAAAACAACAACAACAAGAAACGGATACAGATAAAGTCAACATCAATAATTTTTTCAAAGAAACTTCAAATTCTGAAATAAACAAACATGACCAAGATGGAACATTAAAAGAACTTTTAGATAATAGACTAAGAAAGAAACAAGAACACAAATATAAATTTTCATCAGAAAAAGTTTATATACAATCAAAATTTAGTGCTGATAATTACATTCAAATAATCAGGAAATTAAAAATTGATTTAGACGTCACAGAAACTATCATAGAAAATAAAATAACGCCTGAATCTAGTGCAACTTTTAATACAGATAATTTTTCTAGAAATACAGGTAAAAATAAATCATCAAAACCTTTTGAGTATAACGCTAATACAAAGGCGATTATGCATTTTGAACCCGATACAAATAACCTTAAACGAGAACATGATACGCGAACAAAAGAGACTGAAGTTGCTTTAGAAGATGATTCAAAAATTAAAAAAAGCAAAGATACTGAATCAAGTGCAACTTTCAATACAGATCCGTTTTGTAGAAATACAGGTAAAAATCAATGGCTTAAACCTAATAAACATAACGCTGATACAAAGGCGATTATGCATTTGCAATCTGATACAAATAATCTTAAACGAGAACGTGATACGCGAACAAAAGAGGCTAAAGTTATTTTGATGGATGATTCAGAAATTGAAAAAAGCAAATATATAGCATCGAATCCAAGTCACAGAGTTATTCAATCAGACAATCATAATAATACAAACAGTACTATAGACAACCTTTTAAATAAATACATCAAAGTATTCAGGTATGTAATGTAATGGTTAACATAATGACTTATAAAAATAAGTAACATGATTTCTATAAAAATAGTTTATTGATTTACAGCAATAACGATAAAAATAAGAAGACCACCAATATTCAAAGCTCGAACATATATAACCATAGGACACTACAACCAATCAAAACAAATAAACCATTTAAAATTACTGAAATTCAGAATCTAAACTTACAATTAAGTGAGATATCCGATCCTGCAAAAGCTACTAATGATTTCGACGCGTTCGCGATAGAAGATATCAATAAAAATTTACTTATAAGAAACCAAGAACTTCCCACAAGCTCGGATGATGCCGAGTTCTCACAAAGAACTCAAATAGAAGATCCCATAGCAGCGATCCATGACCACGCAGCGTTCTCATCACATTTACCATTATATGAAGAAGAAGATTTAATAGAAGAACACTTCGATGTAGACCAAGCCATGTTAAACCCTAAAACCTTACTCATGCGTTACAATAACGGAGAATCTAACAATGAAATTATTCCACCTCCTCCTGAATTTTGTAACTCCGGAGGCGATTATTCTCCTGAAATTGATGACAATTTAATTAACAATTTAATTTCACCACCCCTACATTCTCCAAATTATAATAGTGTGTTTGAAGATCAGCTTAATTCTAATGGCACAGATTTAACATGCCAATATTTTGAAACATGGACTTTAAACACTGATGACCCTTATGAAATTGATAATTTCAATACTCATCCTATGCGATCATCTATAAATAGAAATACAACAGAAAATAATAGATATCCGGTTCCCTCTCTTGGTGCAAGATATGGAAAATTGAACCAATTTAGATTTCATCGTAAAAATAAACTTAAAGTAAAAATGTAACGTGTAGTTTGTACCTAGGTAACTAGTAAGTTGAAATAAAATATTACTGAAGTTTTTTATTGTATCTATTTATAGTTCCAACTTACTTATTATAATAAATGGATTATAATTATTAAAATTCGATGTTTATGCATAAATATTGAAGGGGCCCAAACGGGAAATTTGGGATTGACTCGAGCGCGGCCAAATAATATCATGGGCAACCTTGCGACTTGTGAGGTACTCCCACCATACCTGAGCCTTTTATATACCTTTATATAACAATAGGCCTTGACTATTGGTCGCGTTTAAATCGTTAGTCTTTTGAATAGAAGCTACTAGAGGGTTCACGTAACGTGTCTGATGTCTAAAAAATATTAAGTATCTTTATGACTTCTGGTATTCTATGACGAAAATACAATGCCTGGCAGTGTTGGGTGCACGTGAATACTCAGAAACGTAAATCACAGGTGCGACTTCTGTTGTGGTTCGTCATTTACATCTGTGGTTGTAGAGACCATAATGACGACGGAGAAGGCGGTCTGGTTGCACTTTCAACCCTTTGCCAACACCGATGGCACATACTCTGTGTTGTCAAATACAACCTGTAAAAAAACTTTTTTAACTTAATAATAATAATAATCATTCATTTCGGGCAATAAATATTATTATATTTTTGAGGATACATCATAGCGCAATATCTCTTTAGTTCGTAAATATGTCGCTGGTATCTTCCGTGATAGAATCCTCTACGATTCTATCACGGAAGTGATAGAGATGAGACGGAGTGAACATGACACAGTTCCATGAAACTTCCATAGTAAACAATAGTCCAATCGAAAAGCACTTCAATAATCCGTATTTCTAGCCGATGTGTCAAAGTACAAGAGATTGTCAGGGTCAAGTAGAAACTCTAAACGAAGATGAATCGTAGTCACACACGTATTGCTTACGAACGATTACCTGCGCTAGCGCGCAACCGCAACCCGACGAGTCGCCGCCTGTGTTTTATTATCTTCACCCTATTTAAACATATTACAATCTATTATCAGAAACCACTTAAAAAATGATAAATTAAAAAATCGAAAAACCCGACTGCTAAAATATTACTTCAAATAAAAACTGAAAATAAAAAAAACAAGTCCAGTAGGTAGTCTATAATACTGTTAAGTAAGGTACAAACCTACTTTAACAGTCGGGATCCATTAGATATTCATGAATAGATAAAATTTTTCAGTAATGTTTAATGAATGTAAATTTTATAGTTAACTATTACTGATTCCAAAAGTTATCTTTTGCTTATCATCATCAAATTCATCAATATTATATAATTAAATTGTCAATCAATGTCAGGCGCAGCCTACTAACTGAAAGCTACTTCATCACTAGCGCATAATATGGTTTTGGTAAGAAAGACATTACATTTTTTTACAATAGATATGAAAACAATCGAAAATGTATTTAAATAACTGAACTATCTATCCAATTAAAATTTAATAAATATTATAAGTGAATAAGTAACTCATTATTATACAACTAGTCCAATATGAATACCATTTCTGCGTACTTTGTCCTGTACACACGTTGCAACATGGTCACCTTATTTTGTTTCTCTTTCTATAGAAAGAGAGAAGAATCATTCGTTGATGACGTCATTCAAGGTTTTATTTTTGGCTTCAGTTTACCACTTGTCAGTAATCCGTCCACATAGATATAAAACTTCATGAATAAACTACACACAAATAATAGTAATGTTATACAGAACGGAATGTAGTCGGCATTTTGTAATCAACTCCTTGTAACGTAAATCATCTTTGTCATTATTAAAAAGAAAGATTGAGATCAATAAAGAAACAAAATCACAAATTTCTTATTACAATCATCCGAAGCAAGCAACAATCAAAGCATGCCAAAGAAACTTACCTTAAACTACAAATTTGTAGCAGTAGAGTAAATTTTGAGCACGTAAGAACGCGGACCAGGCAGCAGACGGGACTCTGCCTTGCAGCTTAAGAAAGGCTAGAAATAATTCGACACGGCCATCAGGGCTGCGTTATTTCGGCTTCGCCCGGATAGCGAAGGGTGCGGGTTCGAGTCCCGTCTGCTGCCTGGTACGAGTTACATCTTTTCTTGCGCAAATGGATAAAAAAAAATGTTTTGGTTCAATTCAATTTATTTATTGTTTCATGCAACGAAATTAAAATATAGTTGGTTTCATGTGGTAATTACAAATTCTTAACATTTAGTTTCAGATCCAAACTTGAACCCTGTAAGGGCACTACAATAGCACCGCAAGGAATGGTTCTTGCACCTTAGGCTCTAGCCTTATAAGCCTGGGGTTAAATTAGGCCCTGTACTAGAGCCTATTATACTGGTAGAAAATATTAACCTCGTACTCAGATTTTTCAGGGTAGTTTTGACTACTTTTGCTAAAATTTAAAGCTTGCGAAAGAAAGTTAGTTTTAACTACAAAGTTTGTAGCAGTAAATTTTGAACACGTAAGAACAGAGGGCCCGCCAACTGTTTGGATTTTCTTTATTTATAGTCACTCAACAGAGCTAAATTTTTTGTACGAAGTCCTACAAATTACCATCTAGATATCACCATACCACTCCTCATATTTAAAATGGCCAGACAGAACAATACGAAACCTTAGGGTTTTGCCTGAGAGCCGACATTCGAGGAGTCGTAGCGTTACAACTTACAACAGCTTCAAATCTATCCATCTGCCAAAAAAATTTTTAAAGGCCCTTTTATATTTTTATGTATACGTACAAAACCTTCCTTGTCCACTGTGGCATCTCTGAGGGCACGCAAATTACGAAACATACGGTTCTAACTATAGCCTCTCGGTACACGTGTTTTCGTACCACTTTACGTGTTTGCTAACACGATAACATTGTTTGCTAACCGATTAGGGGCGCGACCTAACAGTTTGGATAAATCTCATTTCGATTACATGAGGTTTTGTTAGAAATTTCGCGAGGAGGCCGGCTTTACTTAACGCAAGTTTTACGTACCTACGTACTCTTACTGAATAGTTGAATAAGATGTCCTCTTCTCGTGTACCTACCGGTAGATCGTGGTACGGGAGGGTGGAATAACACATCCTTTAACTTTTTACCAAACTGCAAAAATTGGTTCTCAAAACGTCAACATATTAACTGTTAAGGATCTGGGAGAGTAAAGAAAACAAAAACTAATGAAGCAACACCATAATTTATTGAAGTTTTAATGAAGAAACAATGCACAGCAAAAAAGTCTTACATTTTACAAAATTCATTTTAAGTAGATAAAGAGGCGAATATGTTTACAATAATTGTGTCAATTTACTACTACGATATTAATTACATTTGTTCTCGACGTTTGGTCAGAAGAACAAGTAAAACCAAGACTCACTAAACATAAAACAAAGAAATGAAAAGAAGCCCTTGGGGGGGCATTACAATTTATTTAGTTGGTCTTGGTTGAACAGAACTCCATCCTTTACTTCTGTTAGTCTTTTCTAACTTGAACAGTGCGATGTTTTACAAGGGCAGGTTGAACTCACACCATTCAATTTAAAAGAAACTCGGTGCGTGCAGGATCCTCGTCATTGCCTGGCGCAAACGGCGAAGCACCGACGACGACACTGAACAGATAGAAATTGTTACAACCTCTATACTTTGCATTAAAATAATGCCCATTTTCACAGGCAAGGGATCCTAACTTCGCAACCACTTATTCCAGTGAAATATCACTCTAACACATAGTTCTCAGCTTCCCTGCAAAGTTTTCCATCATGTATTCAAATGAAAACCTAAGAGATACTGACATCATGAATCGGATATAAAAACAATAAGCAATCCTGCCTCTCCACATGTGTCATGTGTCGTCCCATATACCAACCCCTGCACTTTGTAAAAAGTTCTTTCCAAGTTCAAGTCGACTATAATATTTGGAGCTTGTTACAAAGCAAAGGTTAAACAGTTCGTCAACAAGACAATACTAGCTGAGAATACTTTTTCCGTTTAATGCTCAGCATGTAAAAGAACTCTTATAATACAACATACAACTAAACACTTGTATAAGTAGATGCCTGTTCAAACTAAAGTAAACCATGATTGGCTACGCCTTGATTACAATATACATTAAAAGCTAAGGTCAAGATTTGGGTAAGTATACAATAATTTCATTTAAATATGAATGAATGCAAAAACATGCCTAATAAATAATGCTGAATATTAAACTGGAAATATAGTCCACACTTTTTTTGTTCATTTATATTTTTTATTTTTTTTTTTATTTTTATATTTTTTAAGTAATTTCCACGCTGGGAAAATTACACTAATTCTATGCAAAGTATAGCTTGTATTTGTTATTATGACCACTCCATACTTTGTTTCTTTAAGTTTACGGGCTATGCAAATTATCCTCGCACATTGGCAGTAATAATACAAGTGAGAATTCACTTGTTAGTGTTGATTTTTAACATAAAAGACAATATTCAAATTTAAATAAAATAAACTTCATATAATCTTTCAAATAATAATAAAGAAGAAACAAAAATCACAAGTAAGATACTGCAAATATGCCAGTTATAATGCATAGCCCGAAGTGCTATTGGCACACAGGCGGAATGCCATTACTCAAATGGGAAGTGGTGATAAAGATAAGTTAGGCTCAAAACCTAGCGACATCAACCGCACAGGACCTGAGCGCGCTTCACGAAGCTGTTCACAACTCAAATTTGTATGAATTCCCGTTTAGTCTTAAAGCATTTGTGGTGTGCACTGGCCGTGAGCGTTGATGTCGCAAGACGTTGAAATATTCACTTCTTAGTCATGATCTTGAGGTATTCCAGGGCGTTGTGTGCGGCCGAAGCCTGAGCGTCCTTGCTAGTGAGGCCGGCACCGTAGCAAACTGCCACTGGCAACGTAGAAAGCTGCACCAAACATTGGCTGCGACCAGTCATCGACTTCTCCTCAATATCCACATAAGTCACTTCGAACGACTGCTCAGAAGCAATCTCTTGCAAGAACTGCACAAAATTGAAGTCCTTATTGTTCAATGGAGTGACCTGAAAGATTTTTTTTTATAAGTCCAATATGTTTGTCAATGGATGTGAGATAAAGGAACAATGCTAACTACTGTGGAAAAACTGCCATATTTTCTTTCCCATGCATTTGCAAACCGACACTCATCTAACCATTTACTTTATTTAATAAAACACAACTTCCATGCAATAAAGATAATATTTGGAATGTCGTACCTGCAACTTGGCCAGGTTAGGGCCGACAGACTGTTTGAGATGTTTGTGAAACTGCGACACCTTGTGGCTGTGACTGGTAGTCAAAGTGGAGATTTTACTATCTTTCAAGTCGGCATAACGGGCCGCTACTCCGCCCTAGAAATCAAACACGGTTATAAACAAAAGTTCGATGCACAAGTGACCCTTCTGTCCATTCGAGCTTGCAAGAGCCGACCGAAAGATAGTAAAACACCTGGCCAAGTGCTAACAACCTTTTCATCAGAATGATACAAAAGAGCCACTCGTCTCAACATGGCTGATGTCTAGTTAATGCCAATGATCTGTGAGTAAAACCTAAACTATAGGACAACAATTTCATAGTCATTATTATTAGTTACAAATTAAACTAAATTACAAAAGCAGTTATGAAAGGATTTTATGTAATTTCTTTTGTATTTTAACAAAGCTATTTAGTCATGGGTAATTAACAAAGTCAAGTAACAAAGTTCTGTTATTTAATCAGTTAATAAATGGAGTTTAATACAAGAAGGAAAGGAATTTACCTCTTCTTCCGGTTGGAAGGAATCTGGTGGGTTATCTTGAAGAGCTTGCCACATCTTGTAAGCAGCTTGACGCTTGGCAAGTTTCTTTGACTTGCCTGTTCCGACCTCACGCCTCTTCAGAAGAGTGCATATAATCGTAAACTGACGTTCATGCGGTAGTCCTGTAAAATGCATATATAAAGAGTAAGTAACAAAGAAATAAATGGGAAAATTTAAATGTTTTAGATTTAGATAACTAGCAGTATAATGCTTAAATTAGAAAAAACACCAAACAAAAACATTTCTATTCAATAAATTCATTTAAATGACTATCTTTCCCTTATAATGAATTTTGTGTTTCTATGATAAAATTTATCTAAAGGTCAAAATTGCAATCTCTAAAATTATTGAATATAAATTATGAGAATAAAATATTACACATACTTCTATTGACATTGTCATCATTTTCGGCATGGTAAGATGGTGGTGGCCAGAAGCGTGACATACAAAGCTCTTGTAGCCAGCCAACAGGGTTGCCCATCAGCTTGTCTTCAAAAGATGATACCACTGCACCTCTGCAATATCAAAGAGATACATGATATTTTTAAAGTCATGTGTAGTTGAGCAATAATAAGTATTTTTAATATGAAAACAAAAAAAAAAGAATATTTCAAAGTTTAAAAGATTTTTTGCAACTTAAGTTGAATTCTGCCTTCTATTTACTTACGTTTCGGGAACATTCCCATTTGTATTTTGATCAGAAGGTGCTGCTCCAGTCAACTTGTCTAACAAAGCCTTTGCAGCTGAATGTTTGGCTTCTTTTTTCGAACGTCCAGTTCCCATTGCTATGAATAATTCATAATGTTATTTTCATTTGCTTAAAACTTATCAAATGATGTAATTAAACAAAGGATACAGGTATGGGAATATAATACAAAAAGAAATGGTTCTATTGTTGCTTACCAACAAGATCCGCTACAGTAACACGATAGCGGAAGGTAGGCTCATGGATCATTCCCTCAATTTGTACCAACTCATACTTGGGTACAGTTCCACGTCGTGCAAGTAGTTCTTGGAGCACTGATACAGGAGTTTTCATTGGCAGGGACTCCATTTCCTGTTTATTATTATTTAGCTTACAATTGACACAATATTGTTTTATTTATAAGGTCACAGTTAATTTGAAGGTACAAGAGATAGAATTACTTGGTCTATAATGAAACACAATTATTTATTATAACCATATCAATTGACGACCTCCGTGGCCGAGTGGTTTGTACGCCGGGTTTCATGGCTGTCGCAGACTCGAGAGGTCCCGGGTTCGAATCCCGGTGGGGGCAGATGTTTGTGTGATGAATACGAGCATTTGTACTCCAGTCATGGATGTTTAATATGTATTTATATAAATATACATATGTATGTACAGTATATGTATTCTATCCGTTACCCTAGCATCCCATAACACAAGCCTTATAGTGCTTACTTTGGGGCTAGGCTAATTGGTGTGAGTGTCGGAAATATTTATTTATTTAATTTTTATTTAATTAAAAAACTACCTGTACAAATAAAAATTAATATCTGTAAATAGTTATATCTTACAACATTAAAAAATTAGAATTTTTAATGAAAATATAAATTAGTACATACTCTCTTAGCAGCTTCGTCAAGTGGCAAACGCTCTAAGTTGTTGGGTGGTTTTGGTCTATTTTGGTAACGGCGTCTGGGCCCATGTGGAGCATGTTCTCCATCAGGGCCTGCACTGTGCACCGGCATGCCATGGACAACTCCACCTGGCACCCCATGCACCACACCAGCGTGCGGGTGTACAACATTACCATCCATCTGCAATTTTTGTTGTAATTAAGATACATTCATTACAGTTAAGAAACTGTCTTTAGTTCTATAACATATAGTATATTTTATTTTCACCAAATCTCAGGTAGTTGTTACAAAAATGGAAAATAATAATATGAAAGGAGGTACTACAATACATCAACATATTAGAAAAAAAAAATGTGAAAGTAGGTAAACAAAACGTTAAATTAAATCAGTTTATTGTGTCCATCTCATAACTCTGACCCTTATTTTTCAATATTTCAGAAATAGGACGCATAGTTTACGCTTTGTGCAACACTAAGAGAAATTTCTAGCTTAAACTTACAAACATGATGGCTCAATCAGCTGTTCCTATTATACAAATGTTGTTAATTAAGTTCAGCCTAGATTTATGCACTAATAACTCACAGGCACTTCACAGCAAATAGTACAAATGAGAAGACAATTTAGTGGACATACGAGTGATTGACATGGCGGCCGCCGGCCATTACAAGTCCTCAAAATGGCTGAAGCCACATGCCGGTGTGATAAATAGCTACCTACATTAATGTTTAACTTGACTACAAGTAACCTAAAATATTTTATTTTTTCTTTACTTTCAAAACACAATTTAATCCCTTTTATTAGTAAAGTCTCACTTACACTTAGAACGCGGAATTATAATGATCAGCTGTTGTTATCGAATAAATATTGTTGGTTACTTTCTCGTCATAAATAGAATATAACCGCACTTACCATTTTTTTATTTAATAATTCTGCAGACTCCACTGGAAAATATTTAATACAGTTAACACGAAGTATTTTAAACAGAAAATTCCAATTTTTACGCCTATTGACACACCGACACCGGCAACTAGGGTTGCCAAATCCAAATTTAATTCAATCTAATAACTAATTTAAAAAAACGCAGTGGTCGGTGTCGAACGTCAGTGGTATCGATTCTGGCATGATTCTCTAAACTTAAACATAATTAAACATCAGTCTCTTATTTTAATTCTGCATGGAGTGATTAGGAGACACTGGTGTCGATTCTGGCATGACTCTCTCATTTTAAAACTAAATTTCACATACTTCTCTCCTTTTCATTCTGTATAAATAATGAGCGTTTTCCATTTAGAAAAAAAAGTCGACATTGTGTTGCTAACTTCAATAATTTTCATTGGTATTTTCTGTACCAATGAAAAGTATTGAAGTTACCAAGCTTTAGTTGGCATTAGGTTTTTGCTATAGTATCGTCGACACAGTGCAACACAGTGTCGACTTTTTTTTCTAAATGGAAAACGCTCAATGACAAGGATACACTTGTTGTCAAGTTTAAGTTTAGAGAACCCTGCCAGAATCGACACCACTGTTTGAAATCGGATGAGCTGCCCACTAAAATCGACATAATTGTATCCAAAATCGGTATATGACAAAAAAAATACAATATGTTCAGGCAAGACAATAATACGGCTTCCACACGATACAATTTTACGTCCAATTTGATTAGATTGACAATCGAATTGTGTTGTGTGGACGGAAATATGAAATTGAAGGTCATTGGATGGTCGGTATCGCCCGATTCGGGATTGCCCAATCAAATTGGGTGGCGTGGACGCTAACTGACCAAATTTTTAACGTAGGCGTTAAAAATTTGGTCAGTTAGCGTGTTATCTAACGCTAACTGACCAAGTTAGTCAGTTAGCGTTAGATAACTGATCTAACGCTCAGTTATCTAACGCTAACTGAGATAAGTCAATACCCGCTCTGAGCGGGTATTGACTTATCTTTTGAGAAGAAGATGGAGCAACATGACGACAATATTATGTCTATTCGATCTGAACGGGAAGTAATGGAGGAGATTTTAGATATATGTAAACGATATGATAAGACTTGCCATGCCTTTGGGATGTGTCTAACCCATTATATAAAAATAAACAAGCAAGGCATAATTCCTTAGAGATTTTGCGGAATAAGTGGAAAAATATTGATAAAAATATTACTGTTATAATTTTTATTATTTTTAAAGCATGTAACTGCTTGATGTTTAAATCTAAAGAAAATATAACTAGAAAAAATTCCACGCGGACCAGGCAGCAGACGGGACTCGAACCCGCACCCTTCGCAATCCGGGCGAATGCACTGACCAATTATGCTACCGCGGCCCTCACGGACCGTGTCGAAATTCTTCCAGCCATTCTTAAGCTGCAAGGCAGCGCCATCTCTTCGCATTATAGGTAACCCACAATGTCAAATGAATACTTTTACAAGTATTAAACATTTGAAAGAAGAAATAGCAATTATAGTTATAATTTTTATTATTTTAAAGCATGTAACTGCTTGATGTTTAAATCTAAAGAAAATATAACTCAGTTATATTTTAAAGGGTTTTCGAAGGGTGCGGGTTCGAGTCCCGTCTGCTGCCTGGTCCGCGTGGAATTTTTTCTAGTTATATTTTCTTTAAAAATATTACTCTTTAAGTATAACTATATTTAAGTTTATTAATTGAGTCACTTAAATATAATATAACTATATTTAAGTGACTTAATTGCTTTCTTTTTAATAACCATTGTTTTGTCCACAGTCTTCTTTTTCTTTTTTTCTCATCTACATTTGTAGTTAGAGCCAAGATTAATCCAATTTTTTGCTTCTTGGTAAGAGGCATCCTAATACAAACAAGTCCGTTCAGCAGAAGTTCAGTTCCGTTCAGAGGCAACAAATAAAACTGAAATTGGCGATCTTGTTGTGTATGTGTAGACGGACGACCAGATTGTACCCAATTCAATCGGCAATCAGATTGGCAATCAAATTGTGTCGTGTGGAAGGGGTTTAAGATGTTCTGCCTGCCCTGGACGTCGCATCATCTTTCTACCAGTAGGAGGTGTCCGTGATGCTAGTGTACCCACGATCAATATACGGTGTACGCTACCATGACGTCAAGCTAGCGTACCCATGGCCGACCCCAAGAACGGCATATATTTAAGCAACGAAATTGACACACAAAATAGTTCGCAAATAGTGCCCTGGCTTTACAAAATTTCATAATCAGTACTCTTAAAGGACCAAAGATATTGAATTAAACATTCTTAGCTGGCGTCAACCTGGCGTACCCATAATAGTTCTCATAGAAAATGAACTTTTCTCGTTACCAATTCTATAAGTATAAATAGTGTGTCAAATAGTGCCTCTAACAGTAATAGTTATTTATTATACAAGAGTGGAAAGTTCCTTTTTAACCGCGTGCTCGATTTGGATGACCGAGCAAGCGAAGGATTCTAAAGTTGAATCACGAGCGCAGCGAGTGATTCTAAATTAGAATCCTGAGCGTCAGCGAGGGAAACAAACGAGCACAAGGTGAAAAATCTTTCCACTCGAGTGCAATACGTAACTTTTCATCCCACCTCAGCGAGGAAATGACAAAATGAAAAAGAAAACAATTTATAATGACAAAATATTTTTATTTCAATTAAAACACATTAAGATAATCTATAAATTGAAGAAAATAATAAGAAGTAGAAAATAATTAAGAAATATTAAATGTAACGTTGCTACAGTTACTTATGTTAAGTTTAATATTTTTGTTAGGTAATGTTATGTTGGTGTTTGTGAATTGTGCGCTGTTTTGTGGTAAACTACTCGTATCAGTAATTTTAAATAGTTGTGCCGATTCATTGGATTCTATTGGCGTAAATGTTGGCGAGAGAGGGCTATTGTTTCCAATCTTATGGGGGCTCATTTTAGATGTAGAAGGGCGAGACCAAGAATCTGACAGAGGTTCTTTCAGCGTTATGGCCTCCACGATACTATTACAAATTTTTGATTTACTTTGGATTGAATCCTCTATGTATCCCTCTACAACCGAATTAGACTTCCAGCCTCCATGGCGCTTAAGCGATAGAAGATCAGCCCCTGATTCGGCCAAAAGTGTGGCTGAGGTTCTTCTAAAACAGTGACCGGTGTATAACGGGGGTTCTAAAAGTCCGAGAAAAGTTGCTATTTCTCGTGGAATACTGCCAATTTTATTCTGACCCATAGGTTGTCGGATACACTTTCCGTTGCGATATTGTAGAAAAAATCGTTCAATTGGGGTGTTAGAAGGACGTAAAGCTTGATATTTCTGAACAATGTTTACATATTCCTTGCGAATAACGAAGTTGCGGTCTTTTTTTGTCTTGGTATTTAGTACATTAATTAATAGCAATTCATCAGAATTATGAGAATATTTTGATACGTTATTGACATTAAGTAGTGTAAGTTCATTTGTTCGACATGCTCCGGTTATACCAATAATAAGAACAACCTGTAACAAAAGAAGTATTTATAATCGTAAATAAATTAATCAAATTAAAAATATTGTAAGTACTATGTACAATTTTATCAACAACAAAAAATTACACGTATTGACTTACTTTTGCCGCTAAATATACGGAATCAGGTGCTTCATTAATAAACTTTGCAATTTCAGATGCTGTGAAAACCTTCGATTTTTTTGGTTTATAACCAGATGAGGCTCTTTTTAAAAATGCCACTAATTTATGATAGGTGTCGATATGAACGTCTTTCTTCATCTTAATTGTTAATTTTAGCATTGAATACGTACTCCATAGCGTGCTTGCTTTCTTGGTCTCAGATAATTCTATAAAATATGCCAGCAAAACGTTTTCGGAGAAAGTTTTTGCTCCTTTAGCTAGTCGCCACATGTTAAATATATCGTACTGTTTCAAATACTTCTCTCGTGATTGCTGAGGGAGAAGGCTCATTTGCGCATTATTAACTGTTTCAGTTAACTCAGTTGGCGTTAGATAAACTTCATCGTCGCTAATGTCACTCATTTTAGTTGATTTTTTTGTACAGTTTTTAGGTTATGTTAATTATATTAAGCAATAAAACGTGAAAAACTAGAATGGCGCGAAGCACGCAAATAAAACAAAGAAACCAAGAAGGTTCCAAATTTAAATTTTTTCACAATTTAAAAAGTTCTAATCATAAATTTGGCACCATAGAGGTTACATTAAATAGGTTTAATGACGTTTTGAATTTACAATTATATTGAGTACTCATTATATGTGATGTTCTAAATTCAAATCTACTTTGCCGCTCAAGCGAATAAAATAGAATTTTCCAGCCAGATTTCGAAGCGCAAAATTACACTTTCCGAGGTGGTGGGATGAAAAAGTATTTTATGTTAATTCGTAGTAAAACAATATAAAAAAGCAATTAAATTATTTTTATATACGAAGTACAGTCATGTACAGAAGTGATAATATTTTCGTAGTATAGTAGGTAAGTAAGGTACTTTACAGTAGGTAGTTTGAAATTCTTATATGAATTTATGATTGGTGAATTCGAATTGAAATAAAATATCTTTTCATAAAAAGTACCTATTTATTTTAGTAAAAATAAATATATAGATAATCTCTTAGTGCATAAATTAATTTTGTGTGTAACTGTACTACAATACATATGTTCCTAGAATTTAACATCCTCTTTATGGATTGTTGTGATGCGGATTCACATAAAATACTTTTACTGTTAGAGGCACTATTTGTGACACTATTTATACATATAGAATTGATAACGATAAAAGTTCATTTTCTATGAGAACTATTATGGGTACGCCAGGTTGACGCCAGCTAAGAATGTTTAGTTTAATATCTTTGGTCCTTTAAGAGTATTGATTATGAAATTTTGTAAAGCCAGGGCACTATTTGCGCACTATTTTTGTGTGTCAATTTCGTTGCTTAAATATATGCCGTTCTTGGGGTCGGCCATGGGTACGCTAGCTTGACGTCATGGTAGCGTACACAGTAAAAATGATCTTTATTTCTTAAATTAAAGAGGCACTATTTTTTTTATTTTTACACTAATTTGGCACTATTTACGCAGTATTTAATGGCATAACGAAAAACCGTATATTGATCTTGGGTACGCTAGCATCACGGACACCAGTAGGAGCAGCTGTGACCCACATGATGAAAAATTCACCCTATACCTGTGTACGAAATTTAAATTTGTACGCACTCGACTTTTTCTAGCAATTTTTCGACTCATATTTTTTATTTTGTAATTTATTCATAATATACGCATTGGCGTTTATTATGAATAAATATTATGAAATGAAATTTATTGAAGAACTACGCATTAACAACGAAACATATGGACCTTCTTCGCCGCATTTAACCTGCTAGAAGTATCAGCGACCGTTGGCTTGAATCAAAAATTGGCAAAAGGTGTTCTAATATATAGCATAATAGTGGGCCCAATTCTGGCGTGATTCTCTAAACTTAAAACTAAATTTAACATCAGTCTCTCCTTTTCATTTTGTATAGAGACTGACAAGGATATACTGCTGTCAAATTTAAGTTTAGGTTTAGAGAATCATGTTAGAATTGACACCTATGTTAAGCTAAGGAACTTTAACCTATTTAGCCATATCAATAGCATGTAAATAATTCTAACATATTAAAACATAACAATTACATACAGTGCTCGATAGCTTAGTTTCTTCTTTAAGTGGATTTCTCAATAAAAATTGGATATTCACATTTTAGAATATTATTCATAGGAGAATACAGATCTTATTAAAATTTTGTGCGTACGTTGTCTTTTTGAATTCGAATTGCAAGAGGGCGAGTGAATCTATAAAGATCAAAATGAGTGAATGTAGTAACGAATGGGTACGAAATGAATGTATGAACGGACGATGATGATGGACCGATTGTAGATTCTCTCAGCGAAGGATAGATGGCGTTAACATACAGTATTCTCATTTTACCTATTATTCATGTAATAACAATTATTTTATTATATTATTTAAATTCAAATTTCTGTCAATATAAATTACAATTCCCAGTCAGTGCAAATAAAATATTTTATGTCAATTTACTATAATATACCTATATAATAACAATTATTTTATTACGATAATTATAGAGTATTGTTTAATTCAATGTCAATATTAATTACGATTTCTAATGTCAATTCAAAAGTAATATTATTGACAATATATTATGTTAAAGCTTAAAGTATATCCAAAATTGACATCCATTTCAATATTCAGGACTTATTACTACTACTACCAGATGTAGCATCATCTGCATCGGCATTTAGTAGACTTATCTTTAGTAGCTTCTAATGTAGCGAGTTTTGTTGCTAATTTCGCCTGCTCTGCTTCTTCTTCCAAGCGAGCGAGTTTGCGCTCTCGCTCCGACCGACTTTGAGCTTTTTGCGGTAGCGTTGTGGTACCTACATAATGTGGATGTGGGAGCATTGTGGCTAGTGAGTGGTTGCGTTGCGTGGTACCCGCTGCACCGGCAGTCATGCGCGGGTCGCGATTACCCGCAGGCACTTGTGTCGGGCTTCATCCGATCCTCTTTTGTTTAGATCACATTTTATATTTATATTTCGGGGTTTTTATACATACCTAAGATGTATATAGACTAATTAGTACGATTTTTGTACATACCTTATATGTATTTATAGAATTACTAGCTGACTCGGCGAACTCCGTACCGCCCAAAAGTAATAATTTTCAATAAATTAAAATTGCGACTATAATTTGAGATTTAAACTATCCTATCTCTCAAGTTGGATCGAACTGCACATGGTGTGCGAATTTTATTATAATCGGTTAAGTGGTTTAGGAGTCCATTGAGGACAAACATTGTGATACGAGATTTATATATATTAAGATATAAATACATATAAGGTATGTTTAAAAATCGCAAGTTGCAAAGCTCGCTTTTTTGATATTGAAACAGTTGTTTCATTTCACTCGTTTATACAGTTAAAACCCTGTTTTAGGACTCTAAACATACATTATTAAAAAAAAGTATGTCGCATTTCACTAAGGCGAGAAAAAATTGGCCAATATGTGCAACGACTAAATATTCTTCAAACTTCATGAAAAGGCTACTAGCTTGTGTACTAGTAAGACTCCATGGAAAATCAAAGTCACATGAAAATCAAAGTTATGGAAAAATAAAACACCTAATAGACAACCATTGAAGGTATTTTAAGTTTGTTCAAAAGTACTTCATAACACTAAGGGCCTGTTTCACAATCGATAAGTAATGTTCTAATTAAGCTACTTCGAACGTACCTATATAGTCCATTCAGACCACGTTATACTATTGCGTTATAAAGAAGGTATAGCGCAATGATATTATATAAACAAGAAGGTATAGCGCATATAATAAGCCCATACAACATTGTACCAATAGCGTGGTGTGAACGTGTTCTATGAAAATGTATGGTGCGCAATATATTGCTACGAGTTTTAAGCTAATTCTATAAACATAATATACTTATAGTATAAAAGGCGGCAATTTACAACGGAACGGCATGTTAGCGGCCTGCAACGACGCGGGTAGCACTTACAGGGTGAAATAATTACAAACTTTATCTACACACCTAAAATATCAGAATTGCTTGATGAGCACGAAGAAAGATACTGCTCTTTTTAAGTATGCCGATAAAGTTCAAAAGTATTACAGCCTAAAACACTCACTGCGTCGAAGCCGGCCGCTGCCATTCTGGGGGCCATTCGCCTAGCGGAAATGTTTTGGAAAACGCTAACGCTTTCGATTTTAATTTGTTATTTCTGACCGCCGAAGGTTTTCAAATAACAATCGATTTGCATATATAATTTGAGAAAAATGTGAGGAGTAAAATCTATCGATGAATGACCTCGTTACGTTCTTGGTGCGCATCCTATGTCGCGCAACTTTGACAAACAAAGATGACGTATTGACATTAATAAAATTTTTAAAATATGAACTGAATTTAGATATTGTTTCTGATAGAGCAATGGGGACAACGAGGTATGGTACAACCATTGATGCGGTATTTTGAAGATTCGTGAACCACGTATCTACGAACGTCCATGTGTCTTATTTTAGTTACCATAAACCAATTGTCACTGTAATTAATAATGCAGACAATGTTCATTTAATTAATATTTAAAAAAATGATAATAGTCTGATAATAATAATTACATAATTTATCAACATTCCTAATGATATATATAATGCACATCTGAAATTGATTATTGTAAAAAGTTTAATGTAAAATATTTCGTCGATTAGTTATAATAAATGTATAAGAAATGAATAAATATATATTTATATTATTTTCATTAATTTGTTGATTTACCCTTTCATACAGTATCAATTTTTTTTAAGTTAAATAAACTCTTTTTGCGTCTTGTTAGACTATCGAACTTAAGGAGTAAACTCCAGTCGTGCGTCGGAGCTGACACACACAATCTTTTTTTTTCATATTGTTATTACCAATGCCAAAGAAAAAAATAGAGAGGCAATTTTATTAGTTTACTTTACGCTTACTCATATTATTTATTATCAAACCATTGAATATATAATATTCACTCTCAAAATTAAGACGAATTACTCGACCTGTATAAATAAAACAAAAATCAATCAAGCCGTTTAAGGTGCCCAAGAAATGTTTCGAAAAACATAATCTTTCTTCTCTTATGCAATCGGGTAATAATGATTCTATCCATGGTCCACACACACACAGGCATTCTGTATTAATGACGGAAAATAGTCTTAACTTGCTGTATGAAATTTATTTATCTTTTTTCAAATTGTACCATTATTACGAGATACATCGCAGCAGAAGCAATCATCTGTAAGTCAAACAGATAACATTAGGTACTTCTTAATTTACAACATTACTATTGTATGAATACTCTCCAACGATAAATAAAGATTAAAATCATCGCGACCATACACATACTTTAATTCTCTGATTAATTATTAAGAAGCAACTCACGTTAAATATGAGTGTAGCATCCAGGGGAAAGTATCCATACACTGTTAATTCGGTAGCATGGTATGTCATAAGTGTCGAAAAATGTTGTACCTGTGAAGAAATTAATAAAAGTTAAACTGTGCTCTGATAAGCTCCATACCTGTGCGAGTACTTTACATGGTCCTCATCATGATCGTCCTTCAGGGTAGTTATTTAAAACTACTTATTAAAAACTAAAACTACTTAAAAGTTATTTATTTGCCTGACTATACATAAGTGACTGTCTTTTCAGAAAGAAGTTACTTAATTACTCCCAGGTGGGAGCGAGTTCAATTCTAGCAAGTCCACTGTGCTTTTAGCTCTTATGGAATACTTAATGACGTAATTGTTAGAGATGCGTGTAAAAAATAACACAAACTTCTCATTTGAGGAAGATTTAGCAATTTTATTACAAGGCATAAGTACTCGAATTCATGATAGTGCCGTGTATTTATCACCTAACACTGTAATAACCTACCTCTAAAAATGTAATCATATCCTTTTTCTGAATGGGAATATTGTGCAGAGTTTGTCCTATTCGAAAAACCTGAAAAAGTAAATAAGGACTGATTTTATACAGAGTTTACATATACCTGTCTACTATTGTTTGCAAACTTTTTTCGGGTACTCAAATATCGACAACGGGACCCTTGACACCAAACCTCCGCTGGAATTTCACAGAATGTGTATTTCTATATATTAGGTGTAGTTCATGGAATAGAAATAGGTAGCGCCCATATTTTATTTTCATTTGTTAAAGTGAAACTTCTTTACGCACGCTTGACTTGGGGGGTAAGCTGGCGAATAGATTACGCGTTAGGAAAAGTGTGTTCGGGTGTGGCGAACGGGAGTTGAGTGGGGGATATAAGCAAGAGAAAGCAGTGCGCGCGCACATTTTCTTCCTCTCTTTCTCTTAAAGCTAGTAAATGAAATATGTATATGTACATACATGTATATATTGTACACACATATATATACATACAGATGGTGTTAAAGAAGTTTCACTTCAGTCGTGTGGTCATAAGCACACTTGTTTTTTTTTGTTTTATGCGTTAATCTTTTACAGTGATAGTATTTTGTTTTGACTATTTGTTTTTAAAACAATAAAATACACATTCTGTAATTCGCTTAGGTACATCAGTGCATGAGGTATTCGTTGATGATGTACGAAAGATCTAAAAGGTATCCTATGTCTCCTCTATGATCCAAATCCGTCTTACCGTTTTTGGGTAATTGTGTAAGACATTTCCAAACTTCATTTACAAAACATGTATACAGGGTGTTACAGAATTCCGAAATAAAATTTGTAGGTATGTATTCCGAAATAAAAATTTGTAGGTATCTGAGCGGGGCGCAGGGGCGCCTGGGGGAGAGAGGGGGGTCTGTTTAGGTAGTAGTAATCGTACGCATTTACAGGGTTGTCATAGGCAGGTGTAAAACGATATTTTTATTAATTTAATTAGAAAATAAAAGTGGTCTGAAAGGTGTCAAACTTTCGTAGGTAATTCTATACAAGGAACACAACCAAACCCTAAAGTTTTATTTCGGACTTTTGTCACATCCTGTATAATATAAAATTCCTATGGAATTATTTTAAGGTCTTGTAGATAAGTAACATAGTTTTGATATATCCACTATATATTTATCCTTCTTATTAAGTATCTTCCTTTAAGGAATGAATCTGTTTTTTAATAAATGAGGCAAACAAAAGTTTAAACTAACCTTTTGTTTGAGAAGGTTTCCCGAATAAGCTAAAACGTATATTTTCAAAATTTGATACATAATCCAAACGGAACAATTGACAACTTCGTGCGTGTTTAGCGTCCTATTCTCTATAGCTCCATGAACAATTATGTACGCTTCGCTGACCATTGAGTGGAAACATTGCATTGCTGTAGCCAGTATCGGTGCCTGAAAAGCCTTATTTATACTTTGTTTAACTTCACAAGCTTTAATGAATGCCATTTCCATGACACATATATCTGATATTGGTACTATGGTACTAGATTTTGTAAAACACTCCGATATATTCCTGCTACTAGCATACATCATCTTTAGTTGTTCCTCAATCTTCATTAATAACGCTATTACCATTAGCAAAAGAATATAGTAAAAACTGAGACAGGTAAATTGTAACATTTGTGGTAGAATGAAAGAGAAAATTACAAGAATTTTCTTCCATAAACCATCATTTCTAGTCCAGTTCACCACCAATTGAATGATCAACAAAAGGGCGAGGCTCGTGAGAGTCACGAGAACTTTATACTTCAGTCTTTTCAGTATTTTGTTTTTATCAACGTTCGGTATGGAAATCCAAGCTGAGTTCAATGTGTTCAAAATATTCACATAATTGTATCGATTCAAGAACGCGCTGTAGAACGCAACAAGGCAACAAACTACCAAAATAAATAACTCCAATATATAGTTAATCTGTGTAGAGATAACATCGGTTAGAGAATTTCCTTCAGTCAACGTAACGATGCCTCTAATGTGGTACACCATAAATGTTACTACGATCAGATTCAGTAAAACAGCACAAACACTGCTCGCAAAGAGACTGCGATGAATGATCACGCACTTATTTCTGTTTCTGAATTTCACACTGTATGGAAATAAACCAAGGGAGGACATTACCATGTACACAGGTTTAAAAATATCGAGTAAATTCAATTCTGAAGGTTCGACAGGCTTAGACGAGAAAAACTTTTTAATGCGTGCAATCATTATCGTACTTATTTAGTGACTCTTTCAAATGAACGCACGCGTGAAAAGCTCAGTGACGACTGCTGAGATATGAGCATATTCAATAGTCATTACAATATTGCGAGTACAAAACAGATAACATCATTCACGTTATTTATTCATATTGCAACGGCAATTAATACATATTTCCACCATTGAGCAGCTTTAGAGTATTTAAGCGTTCGTAAAATTACAGCTAAGCAGTTGTATAATGTTGGTGAAATAAGTATAAACAGTTTTTTTTTGTTAATGATGTATCATTATTTCACTTAATTACCAAGATAGTACAAGGTATCAGTATTAGTAGTAGGCAGGTATGTGATTTTTTTACTATTACAAATAAAATATAACTTACTACGTTCATGAACAGAATAATTATTATTTTCATAAAAAATTTACCCTACTCAGGCGTATAATTATGTACTTTATTTACAAATAATACGCAGTTCTGTTTATTAATATGTTGAAACAGACTTTTCGACTCTGTCACTTGCTCACTGAAAAATTGAAATTTTCTTTTACTTTTTAACTTTCATAGTTTCTGTACAAGTGCGCTTGTACAGAAACTATGAAACTATGAAAGCGCATAAACTCGACGGTACCTATTTACATGGTACCTACCGTGACCAAGTACTGACTACCATACCATGAACAAATACTACTTACTATAAACGAAATATTTTGTCCATGCTTCCAACTTAGAACATCGAATAGAAAGAATTTCAAGGCATAGATCTTAATCAAAATCTTTTATATCCTTTGAGGGAAAAACCTTCGGAAAAAACATCACTTTGTCATTGACAAAAAGATGACAAAAAAAATAAAAAAGAAAATGACAAATTTTACCAATTATTAATTTTAACAGGATTTAACCTAATTTTTTAAATTAAAGTGTTAACAGTACACATAAAAAGAGAACAACAAAATACAATGTTAATCTTAAAAAATATTTACGATTTCTGTCGGCCGCGTCAACTTATGGCCACTATGACTACAAACTGGTTTCATTGCAAATCAAAGTATAAACACAATAGCCGCCAATACAGCACATGCCCCTGTGGCATGAAAGTCACCATATGCGGGGCGGCGGGGTGCATAGGTAAATCATCCTACTAATATTATAAATGTGGATTTGGTTGAAACTCGGTGAGCATATAATAGTTTATCACCTGGATTGAGACATAGGAGTACTATTTATCCCGAAAAATGGAAGGTTTATGAGGGATTTTCAAAATCCAGAAGTAGCGGGCGGCCGCAAGTTTTTCTTTAATGCTATATGAGTGGCATACAAGCATAATATGGTTCGTCTTATGGTAAGCGGTACCATAGCCTATTGTCGCTTGTGATACCAAAAATATCACTCGCGCCGTTGCCTGCCCAGACGCAAGCCTTACCCCTTGGAGCCCTGGAACCTTACTCACCGACAGAAACACAACAGCACCAAAGAGTAGTGTTATGTTCCGACGACGACGAGTGCTCCAATTCGAGTGGCAAAACCGCTATGCCCTACCTCTCTTAAAGTTATAATATATAATGTAATCATAAGTAATTTAACAACATAAAATATATTTAATTGTATTATTAACTAAATATTCGGCTTTGGGCAAGCATTATACATAAAATACCAAAATTTTAGTTCTGTAACTCATTCCATTTATGATCTGGAGACCCGTGACATACTGACAGACGACAGAGTGACAGCAATAGGGTTCCGTTTTTACCCTTTGGCCATGGAACCCTAAAATGAACACGTAACTTAACGAAGTGTTGAATTTCATAATTCACAATTAACCGATAGTTTATTTATAATCTCATATTATAACCTATAGAGAATTGAACGTTATTCACATGTATTTTATTTATAAATTGACAAGGTCAACCTCTCGCTTTGCTGCTAAAGCAGTGCCCGCTACTTGATGAGATTGCTCTGTACGACATAATCGCCACTTGCGGCTATGGAATGGAATTAAGTCACGTCGATACCAAATGTAAAGTGTCTTCGTACTCTGGTCGCCACATGCTCTGTGATGCGCTCAAGGTAACATACGTGTATGATAAATAAAAAAAATACTAGAAAAAGGTCAAGGTTTCAGGCAGTTTTCGAACCTGCGTTTTCAGCAGTCCGGACGGATACACTAAGCGCTATTCTGCCGACCGACCCCTAGACACCGTAAACGAGTGATTTTTGAAGTTATACTTCTTTAGGCGCGTTATGAAAAAATGATGAGAGTGAAATTTTAAGATGCGCGCGCATCACTGTAACACAAAAAATTAACAGCATGAAGTTGGTCGCTTTAGCGATAGAATCTCTATTTAGTGGGTGCTAACGACTGCATTGTGACGGCCTATCAAAAGTATTTATTAATCTGGAACAACGGAACCAAAGCGCGATTCAGGAGACTACAGCGCCATCTCTTGACCATTGGTGTAGTAGAACCAAAATCCACATCTTTATTTTTTGTAATAAAGTAACAGTTATAGGTATTCATATTTATAATATTTATCCACATGTTTCTAGTTTGTATATTCGGATTGAGTTTCATACAAGTGCAAATCACATATGTTCTAATAAATTATATTCAGTAGCGATTTTAATTGAATATTTTGATTACTTATTTATTTTTTCAAATTAAAACTGAATTTTATTGACTGTGTCCTTTTCCAGACTTTTTATTAATTTATTGTAATTAATTATTTGCATGCAATTGAAAACTAATTTTTAAACGATGCCAAAGAAGGATAACTTCTCACGCGCCTACATAAGTACACGCACCCATTTTTTTTATATTAATTTTCTTTAGATTTATATATCGAGCAGAATAATGCTTAAAATATAAAATATGAGCATCTATCATTTTTTTACCTGTTAAGTTAAATTAAATTTAAATCCTCCAACTGTTTAGGAAGAAAAGAAAAATTACTGATATTTTTGCTTAAAATTTTCATTTTCTCTTCCATATAAAAGAAATAAACTAAAGTTAACAATATTTTTTTCAATTTCAAGGGTTCCAAAGTAGTGGTAATAGTCGCACGTGATCGAGTGGATACTTTTGAAAACAACGCTCCAATTCTAACAGAAATAGGTCTCCAGATTTGCAACATATGCCCTGATGTAAGTATGGATTGATTGATTACGCTTAGAGGAAAGTAATAGTAGAAGTTAAATAATCTAACAAGAGTAAGTTGAGCAAAAGCATGTCCAATAAAATCTGTGCTTTGCAAAACATTCATATAATTGAGTTACTTGTAGGGGCGTATTTGAAAATAATGGTGGTATTTTCCACCGCAATCTAGAAAGTAGTCTAGCTACAATCATTTTGTCGTACAGGGAACATGCAAAACGAAATAGTAAAAGGGATCAATCGTTATGATAAACATATGTACAATAGAAGATAAATTTGATTTCTTTCCGTGAGTATGCAAGCAAGGACTTGTCATAGGTATTATTACCGGAAACATTCAAAAGTTAGATAATTTTCAAGTATTTTTTTCCGATAACAGCAAATTACTAATAAAACTTCCAACACTCACCTTTTGTTACTTGCAGCTTTGTTCATGACATCATCATCAGCCTATTAATGTCCCTACTCCTGGGCACAGGCCTTCCCTATGGTTGAAATAGCGAGATTGGGTCATGGCCCACCACGGAGGCCCAGTGCGGATTGGTGGGTGCTAACGACCCAGGCCAGCCAGGACCAACAGCTTAACGTGTTTTCCTCGAGGAGGAGCTCGAGATAATATGTTTGTGGTTACTCATCCAACGACCGACCATTGCGAAAGTTGCTTAACTTTCATGATAGCAGGCTGAATGCGCTAACCACCTGTGCCATCGAGCTCCTCATGTTCAACCCCCTTTACTCGTTATCGTTGTTCACTTCCCGGTAATAATAGCCCAGTCGTAGGTAGTCGTGGAACATGCGCAGCAGCGTTATAGTGTCTTATAATTGTAACATTTTCTCGATAGTGCTTCACGATAATAGCAACTGAGCCTGTGGAGAGCATGGTGCCTCTATTGGGAGAGCTCCAGCGGTTGCGCAGCGTCTACGACCCGCGGAGACTTCTGGGTTGTGTTGAGCTGAACTGCGTGCGCGCCAACACAGTGTTGGCGGATTTCTTGCGCGTACCGCCCGAAGCAGTGCGTGTTCCTGTCATAGGTGGCGCCACTCCCAACACTATGGTGCCAGTGCTATCGGCTGCTGTCAATCCCTGCAACTTGACTCAAGAGCAGGTAATTTTTGGGGTCACTCACTGACCCAATAAACAGTACTCGTGGATTTCTTGCTCATTGCAGCAGTTTGCGCTGTGAAAAGTTGCGCCACGAACACCCCTTGCCTAGCCAGGAGCGTACGCAAACACGGATACTACCATCAACGTCGTCAATGGGACTGCGGGGGGGACAAACAAGTGGTGCAGTGTGCTATTTTACCCAATATTTCTCGTTTCATATTATTATATTTTATACTCTTCGTTTTTATGTCATGTAGGTAAAATTAAACACAAATTTCAGATTGAGTGCATAACATCTTGTATAATGAGTGGAACAGAAGCGGTATGCGCCGCGAAAGGTTGCGCCACAGACACCCCGTGTCTAGCCGGTGCGTACGCAATAGCTCGAACAACCATCAACGTTGTCAAGGGCTTGCAGGGAAGCAAACAGGTGGTGCAGTGCGCTTACGTCGACAATATGGGCACATGCGCACCGGACTGCCAATTCTTTGCTAGTGAGGTAAGCGAAATGCGTTTTAAACTACATCGAATTTTATTTAATGTTCCATAATAAAATATCTGAAAGGTTATATATAGACAAATTGGTAGTAGTAAATCGTAAAAGAGGTTATATTTTTACTATTAATTTGCCTTTATTAATCATCTTCCGATACTAGAAAAGTAGCATTTGAGGAAAAGGTGAAGCTTAAAGTACTATGTTTTGGAATGCAAAGTCTCGGTTGAAATTTAGAAAGAAAAATAATATACGCTCAACTTTTAAATAATTATGATAATTGTCCTTTATTACAGGTCGTACTGGGACCATCTGGGGTTGAAAAAAATTTGGGAGTACCAGAACTAACGAAGTTTGAGAACTGTTTACTGTGCAACTGCCTACCGTACGTACGGAACGAAATATGCAGAGCAATATGGCTGGTAAGTGCAATACTTTTATCATTTCAATTACATTTAATAATGGCAATTTCATCCTATCTTTTTGTTATTTTTGCTGTTATTTTTTAATATATCTATTCCTAGTATAAAAAAAACTGTAGCGGTATACACTAAGCGATCATCCACTAATATAACATTGCGACATCTATGAAATACCCAGTTAATTTTATTTATTAACATAAGACAATGGTAAACTTAGTGACAAGAATTATTTGATAACAACTGAAAATCTACTTTAAGTAAAAACATGTGGCTCAACGTCGACTTCTGGACACACGTAGCGTCGGTCGTTGATTTAAAGTTGATTTTTTTCCCAGGTGTACACGATGTGCTCTCAGTGCTGCTGCGTTAACTGCTTGGCACACCCTAGCACCTGCTATTCGCCACCAATCGTGCCCTGCGTTCCGCCCATCAACTGGACCTGCGAGTATCCCGACACCTGCCGTGACGAGTATCTGGCCTCTGTGAGTACAGCTGGACAGCTTATCATGACGTCGGCAGGATATCACACTGTTTACTGACATATACAAAATACTCTCAGTGCTGTTGCACTAACTGCTTGGCTAACCCTGGCACTTGCTACTCGCCGCCAATCGTGCCCTGCGTTCCGCCCATCAAATGGAACTATCAGTATCCCGACATCTGCCGCGACGAGTATCTGACCTCTGTGAGTACAGCTGGACATAAGATCGCAACGTCAGCAGGATATAACACTGTTCACAAGTCTATATAAACTGCTGTCACTGCTACTTAGCAAATTGTCTCATCCTGGCATATGCTACTAGTCGCCATAAGTACTGTGATGTCAATTTATCCACTGCCCTCTTTTACTCTACCTCAGAGCGCAAGGTAAGCAATGAAAGACAACCAAAAAATTCAAATAATGCTATAATTATATTTTACCAACTATGGATTCTAAAGGAGATTAATACAGTAGTTCTAAGTTCTAGTTTATATAAATTGCCAAGTTGACATGAAACATTATAACTATATTTCAATAACCCAACATGTCACAACGAGGCTGAATACAGTAATTTCAATGTTAGAGTTTATACAAATTCCCCCAGTGGGCAAGAAATGTTATACTATATTTTACCAACTTTCACTCTCCTAACTAAGCTGAATATAGTAGTTTTAAAGTGAGAGTTTTTATAAATCACAAGTTAGCATGAATCTTAGAATTATATAGACATCAGACATTCATAACAATCTACCATGTACTTACATAAGTTCTTAAACTATATCTAATGTATTTTATCCACTCTGCAATGGACTGTCCATTGAGAGACCACAAAGACTAGACTTAATAAGCTATTTAGTGGATTTCAGAGGTTCTACGGCTCGTTTGATCGATATTGGTGATAAACTTAGTTAATTATAGTTCTTTGAGACAACCAGTTATATAGATATATATATATATATATATATATATATATAGAAAGGGGTAGGTCGGAGTCCGACCTCGCCTTGTGGTACCTGCTCCACGCTCGCCCGGTGTTAGTTATAAAAATACCTTGTTTAGGATAGGTTCAGCAGTGTATGATCTGTCCGCAGTTACATGAAATGATCTCACGAGGCCCCCCTGGTCCGTGTACAGAGAGAGAATCTCCTTGTTATTCCTCCAGTATTTCTTGAGGAGAGTGTATAAACCGTTCGAAATATAAAACTATCCGTAAGTATTTTGTTTCCTATCACAAGTTCCGCCCCGCCTGCGAGATTCCAGAACCGTACACCTGTGAAACTTTATCAACCCGAATTACAGTTCGGCCAGCGTCTCCGCGCTATTTCCGCCAATATCCTTCAGGATATAAACTTTTCGGATCTATTTCACGACTCCGACGACGAGGTTATGGTCCTCCTTATAATATACTTCGGGCAGAAGACAAAATTCGAATTACTTTTCCGAAAACTGAATGTGAAATTTTTAAATGTTGTTTTGACAACTGAGCATAGATGATAGACCGCCCACTCCCAAATATGTGTCTATGATTTGTTTCTCTCTCCAACTGAAGGCAAAGGCCACAGTCAAACAGAAAGCCGCCGCATTCGAGATGAAACAACGAATCAACTCAAAACTATATAACTATGCTCGCCGTAAGCGGAGGAAAAGAGAGTACCCACCTAGATCAGCGAGGAAGTTCAATTTCGAGTAAAATTCAAAATCGATTAAAAACAACGCCCGATGGAGAACTCAAATCGATATGGGAAAAATTATTCAAAATTCAACAACTGTCAAACTCCATCCATTCATCCACACGCACCAACAGAGATTCAATGCCTTATTACTTTTTTTTTTATATAAGTCTCAAGTCGAATATTTTAGTCGAATAACTACCAACCCCATCAATGAAGTTTGACAGCTACGCCGACGTCAGCGGTTCGCTATCATAGACCAAACAGCTGTACTACGTGTGTCAGTTATTTAAGTGTCAGTGTCACGCCCTGTTTAAAAACAAACACTACAGTACCCTGAAGGTACGAGAACACTAAAATATGTTATTCATAAATTTATAAATGGATTAGTATTCAAGAATTGTATGTTAAAGATAATTATAAACATAAACTTAAGAAATAATTGCTAGAGCGAATCGCTGTATGTGTTGCCATTGTAAATTATAATGTCTTGATTGAATAAATAAATGAAAAATATCGTAACGTTATCATCTCGCCTCGGGACACGAGCTTGTCTCGAATTGATATGTATGCTACGACCTAAAAAGTAACCACATTTGCTTTGTGCGCTTACTTTAGCTCCATTACCAATTGATTTTATTATTGATGTGTAACATCTTTCCTCTCGCTTTCCTGCAATTTGTGGATGTGATTTCGTGAAATGGGACGGAAGTGTGTAACAGGAAGTGGTGAAAACGCGCGCTATTTTATTTGATTTTAGAACATAATGTTCAAATGGCTTATTCCTTTTCTAGTAAGTTTTATTTCTTTTTACTAATATGTGGAGGTCCACATCAAAACGTTACATTTACATCTTAAATGATTTTAAGCAATTTGAGAAAAACGAATTAGTCATCAATGCTTATAGCGATCTCTCTGCTCACTATGGGAAAAAAACTTATTAATGCATAGATTAATTTGGGTCAATCATCATTTCAATATTTATACTTTTACTAGCTGACCCAGCGAACTTCGTACCGCCCTAAAAAAATAGGGTTTGTCCAGCGGACAAAATTGTGAATCTAAACCATTCTCAGATCCCCTTGAACACACACAAAAAATTTCATCAAAATCGGTCCAGTCGTTTAAGAGAAGTTCAGTGACATACACACTCACAGAAGAATTATATATATAAAGATACTCACGAGAAAAATTTATAAAAAAAAAATTACGTTTTGGTGCAACAAATTCATTAATGTAGCGTTTTGGTGAGATCATTGTAAAAATTTCCTTTTTTATTGTGATCTACTAACAAGTGTCACTTTCTGGTATGAATAGAAAAAGACATTTAAATTAATGTATTTTATTATAAAAAGAGCAATATACATATTATTATTATTTAATTTATTATAAAAACCTAAATTCAATAGCAGAACAATCTTCTTTAGCGCATAAAATTGTTACGTTTTGGTGCAACTTGTAGATTTCATAGCGCTATAGTACGAAATTGAACGCATTTTGTTGCAACTTCAATAGAGTTTTCGATAGAATTCAGGTATTCGAACCGATCTGCATACTCAACTTATTTTCTGAACTACATGTCAAATGTTACGGTTTGGTGTGGACCTCCACAATATAAGGTGAGGTTTCAAATGTTACACATCATACGCCACTACTGTAAGGCTCGCCCGTTTCTTTTTTAGTACTATCTCCTGATGAATCTATCCTATTATTCAGATCTGCCGCAAGATGACCTGCAAGTGCAGTACGGCAGAGCTGTGCTGGCGACCCCGCGAAGAAGACTACGACGCGGCGCGCGCCTCCAACATCACGCATCAGCTGCCTACACGAAGCCCGCCCTGCTCCATCTGCCACGTGCCAAGGAGCGTGCTCATCGAGAAACAAATCCGGGAAATGGCTAAGGAGCCACACGTATAGACGAACCGGATTAACCCATTGTCAATCTCGTGAGGTGGACACTATTCTAACATTATCCTTTATCTGCTGACACGAGGCGCGCCTTAATCCATCTGAAAGTACCAAGGAGCCGGAGAAACAAATCCGACAAATAGCCAAGGAGCCACACGTGTAGAGAAACCCGATTTTATCAGTGAGTCTCGAGAAGTGGACACTACTCAAAAATTACCCACCAACTGCCAACACGAAGCCCGCCCTGCTCCATCTGCCACGTGCCAAGAAGCGTGCTCATCGAGAAACAAATCCGGGAGATGGCCAAGGAGTCACAGGTATAGCCGAACTGGATCTAACCAGTGACTCTCGAGAGCTGGACACTGCTCCAACATCATCCACCAGCTGCCGACACGAAGCCTGCCCTGCTCCATCTACCACATGCCAAGGAGCGTGCTCATTGCAGAACAAGTCGTCACTCCCGGGTGAATGGCCAAGGAGCCAAACATATAGACGAACTGGATTGAACTGGTGAGTCTATCATGAGACACTTAACTACTCCAACAGTACCCACCACCTGACTGCACCAAGCCCGCCCTGTTCCGCCTGCCACATACCGCGAAGCGGGCTTATCGAAAAACAAATTCGGGAGATGGCCAAGACGCCGCACGTATTAGACGAACCAGATTTAACCGGTGAGAGTCTCTTGCATAAGTGCTCATACACTAAAACACGATACGAAGTCGCGTCGAGCAACGATGCGCCATCCTTTCACGTTGCGACGTCACCGCGTCGTATCGTGGAAATCTACGATGAGCAACGTAAATATTTGTGATACGACGTCGCCGGTTTTTTCATGGTACTGTACCCCTAGCACGAAACAATATCGAATTCGAATAGTTTGCGAGTCCGAAATGTCATTGTGAAATGTGTACTGATTTTTAGTTCCCGTTACGTACTTTGTCGCGCTGCTGTTCAAGTTTCCAAACAAAATTTGACATTGACATTTCGCACTCGCAAACTATTCGAATTCGATAATGGTTCGCGCTAGGGGTACTGATCTAAAATAATTGTGCTCGAATGGTTCGAAAACTTTATTTTATACATAGATCCCACAAATGATTACCACCCACCCCCACCTGATGTTAAGTGACGGTGGTGTTCGGATGCGAAGATAGCTGGTACAGCAGTCCTATATGCCAGACCAGCCATCCTCACCAAGCCGGCCTGTATGTTGCTTCTTCATCAAAATCATAACTTCTATTCCATCCTGTTTTATGTCGACCGTACGTATTTGTAAATTTAGTAGACATTTTTCTTTTTCTTTTCCTAGGTTTTCTGAGAAGTGTGCACTAGTGATTTCAGCAGAGGTAGTCATGGATTCATATAATTTGCATATAAATTAATATTGGTGAAACAGAAGATATTGAAATGTTTACGCCATTTCAATCTATAAAATACAGTTGGATCAAATCAAGAAACAAAGTAAACTGTAACTAAGAATAACTTGTTCGAAGTTGTGAAATTTAGTTATCCCTATTTGTAATATCTAACTGTAACAAGTGAAGAAGTGTTGTGAAAAGTAAATCGGTCAAATTTTCAAATATAAAACGATAAAAACAAAAAAGTATTTGTTTGTTGTGGAGTAAAAATAGGGACTAAAATTACAATTATCAAGTAAAATTATATTCCTGCTTTCGAAGCTTGAATTTTATTGTGGTAATGAATTATGTTGAATAGTATTTACTTTTATTCGATCAAACGCTTCTTTTTTTAAGGTTCAATCAATCTATCGCTATAAAATAGATGCACCAAATTTTTCCGTTTTTCTCCTTGCTACTTAGCAATCGCAGCATTCAATTCCTGCTGCAAGACTTGTTACTATATTCCTTCCTGACAAATCGAGGTAATGCACTTTCACAAGATTCACGATAGTTTGATCACGATTGTAGCACGATAACGACTTAACTACGGGGCTATAATAGTATTTACTTTTATTCGATCAAACGCTTCCTTTTTTTAAGGTTTCAATCAATCTATCGCTATAAAATAGATGCACCAAATTTTTCCGTTTTTCTCCTTGCTACTTAGCAATCGCAGCATTCAATTCCTGCTGCAAGACTTGTTACTATATTCCTTACTGACAAATCGAGGTAATGCACTTTCACAAGATTCACGATAGTTTGATCACGATTGTAGCACGATAACGACTTAACTACGGCGCGATTGTATGTAAATCACAAGGCTTTAAAAACATGTATGTGCCTAGTGCCTATTTGTGTGTAAGGGATCCGAGTTTACCAGGGACTTTTACAGATTAATGAAACTAGAAGTTCAAAGTTTAAACGAAACAAATATACAAATCACAGAGCTCTATATTAGGGAAGATAAAATTTCTAACAATAGCACAGAATAGAAGCAAAGTATATTAAAAAATATTAATGACTATATATTTAATAGATTCTTGATTTTCGATGTCATATTACCAATTTTCCCCTTCCATGCATCGAAAAACTTAGGATGTGATTCTATCTTGAGCTAGAAATAAACAACAAATAAATTATTTCGTTTGGTGCTATATTTTTATATTTTTATTATACCCAAAACTTTATTTCGATGTATATAGAATAAATATAAACATTACTTAAATTTTAACTAGGACTTGTGAGAGTGTAGTTAATATTTACACGACTCCCGTCCGTGGTACCTATCTGTAATAGGTACTAATAGTGCCACTATCTGTGGCACTACAACTAGTGCCATAGGTTATATAATATTCAATTAGCAGGAAGTTAATTTTAACGTTGTCGTTTAAAAAATTTGGCCTTTTGATTATTTCAGATCTTTTGGTTTTGAATAACAAAAAATATTTTTTTTATGTAGCAATGAAAAAATGTCAAAATTTAGTGAATATAATCGCATTATTTTTCCTTTATTGTATTTTGTAGGGGATGTAAACATAAATGCAATTTAATTGAATACGTAAGCAGGAAGCTGTGCCACGGAAAATTAATATTAATCGTCGCACTGTTAGTAGTTATTGAATTTGTAATTTTACAATAAATTCATATTCACAGTAAAGAAGTCATTTGTATGATGTAATCACTTTGAAAGCTACTTCCTCAATACTAATAATAATTAAAAACTTAGGTAGGGCTTCAGTTAAAAAAATTAAACTGAAGTCCTACAATAAGTAATTATTTTTGCGTTAAAGTTAAAAGTCCAATAGGCAGGAGTTACTTAATTCTATGAATATGATATTAAATTTTACCTCTTTTTCTTGTATCTTCGGAGTATTTTTTTGTTTTTGGGTTTCCGCTTTCTTTCTTTGGTATCGAGCTTCCACATGAGGAGCAGATTTTGATTCCATCTTCTGCAAAATTACCATCAGCCTATTAGTCCACAGATTATTCAAATTCATGGGCTAAATCATATTATACAGAAAAATCCTAGAGCAGATTAGTTGTCTTACAGCTATAATTAACGGTTTCATTTATTTGTGTGACTTTATTTGTATAAATATTAAGGTATTTAAGCGCTGCCTTGACACAAAGCTTATATTGTATTTGTTTTATTTTGAAGTGAAAACTTCTTTAGCGGCGTTGTGCACTTTTTTTTATACTTATAGGAAAAAATTTTTAAACTCGCGTCAGGACACGTCACGTAATCGAAAATTCGTAACACGAAAACAATAAAATTGGAAAGGTTGTTGAATTACTAAGTCTCTCTAAGACGTCCAGGCGGCAGCTTTATTGCGAAGAAAATGCATTTTTTTTTTACAATAGATTGTGTGATTCTTGTAAGTTGATTTTTCTGAGAGATAACCTTTTTAATGTAATATAAATTGTCATGTTTGTGAACGAATGGGCAATAAATAAATATTGTATTGTACCACATAAATGATAGTACTTTTATACTGATAATATAATAAAAGCAATTCGTGCAAAATTATTCCCTAACCATTCCAAAATATCAAAAATGCACAACGTTAATATTCAAGTTTTCACTTCTGCCGGCACTCCCGGAGTGCAACCCGTCGTTTTTTTTATAAATTTAACTATGTCGTGACTTATGATAATTCAGTTACTCACCTTAGTCACATTAAAGTTGATGACCGATTGTATAGGATTGAAATCTTCCTTCATATTCCTCACTGATTTCTGTAAATATTTTAATAATAAATATAATTTTCATTTATACCTAAATAAAAATAATATTAAATAATTTTTTGACATATACACAGTCAGATCATAAGTATTGTCACACAGTAAAAACTTTTCTTTTAGAATGCTGGCCACAAAAAATTTATTGAATTCGAATTTCGAAATTGTTCATGAAAATAAAATTGTATACTTTTTAGAATTTTACTCATTTTTAAATATGGCTAAAGGCTTAAAGTAGGCTAGGACTACAGCAGTGATAAAAGCTGTGAAGGCGCGAAATCAAAGAAATCCCAAACGTAAGCAGAAACTGTTGGCCCTTCAGATGGGGTAAGCAGAACCACGGTGAAAAGGGTGTTAAATGAAGACTCAGAGCTTCGGGCATATTGAAGAAAAACAGGACATCGTTTGAATGCTCGTTTAATGGACCTGAGACTGAAGAGATGCCGCGCTTTGTTGAAGGGGTACGCGGGAAAAAAATATCGGGAAATCCTTTTATCGGATGAAAAAATTTTTACCGTAGAAGAGAGCTACAACAAACAAAATGATAAGGTGTACGTACACAGTAGTGAAGAAGCGAGCAACCTTATTCCGCGTGTCCAACGAGGTCATTTTCCATCCTCGCTCATGGTATGGTTGGGAGTTTCTTATTGGGGCTTAACAGAGGTACATTTTTGTGAGAAAGGTGTAAAAACGAATGCAGTTGTGTATCAAAATACAGTCCTTGTGGAACCTGTTTCTCATACCGTGTTCAATAACAGGCACTGGGTATTCCAACAAGATTCGGCGCCAGCTCATAGAGCGAAGAGCACACAAGACTGGTTGGCGGCGCGTGAAATCGACTTCATCCGGCACGAAGACTGGCCCTCCTCCAGACCAGATTTGAGTCCGTTAGATTACAAGATATGGCAACACTTAGAGGAAAAAGCGTGCTCAAGCCTCATCCCAATTTGGAGTTATTCAAGACATCCTTGATTAAGGCAGCCGCCGATATTGACATGAACCTCGTTCGTGCTGCGATAGACGACTGGCCGCGCAGATTGAAGCCCTGTATTTAAAATCACGGAGGTCATTTTGAATAAACTTTATTGTCATAAGAATCTATGTTTTGTTAAGTTCATTTTGGTATATAAATGGTTACATAATGAATAAACTTGTTTCAATTATTTTATATTAAATATGTGCCAGAATTTATGACCTGACTAGGTATATGTTGAAAATAGCTCACTAAATAAACTTTGGGGGTAGGAGTATAAACGAGCCTTTTATGCAACGAATTAGAAATAATATGGAATACGAACTGCGCTAAAAAGTGGATCCAACCAAACTGCGATCAAATAGGTGGAGCGAAAAAAATGCGATCAACACACCAATTAAGGGATTGGCTGGGATTTTCGTTTATTATTTTACCCAATGAATGGGTGGCGGAATTAATTTTAAGATATTTGATTTGTCAAAGTATTCTGTATTACAGGCCTTTGTCAGAGAGTAATGTTTCCATATCATTACTAATACGTTGATTTTAATATTTTGTTATTTGGACCAATTGCCATTAATATTTAATGACAATTTCATTAAGGTTAACAGTCGGGTGAATAGTTTTTACACGACTGCCAAAGAGCGGTGTTATTTAAATCTAATAGGTCCTCTGATTTTTATCACCTTTTAAAAAAATGCCCTATTCCCGTAATCTTGAAAAATAATGTCAGGCAGTGTCATTCTCGGTGATATTTATAGGGATTCTTACGATACCTTTTACATAAAAACTGTACGGCCATTTAGAAGTTATGGTGGATTAAAGAAACGCCCATACGAAGAAAGTCTTGTAAAAATGGCATATATTTCTACCATCGTTTTACAACATAAAGAATTCAAAGTTTTGTAAAGCACTTTTTCTTTTTATGACGCTGTATGTATCTATATTTTAAATAAATTAATTAGAGAAGAAAGTATACCTTAGGAACGCACACAGTGATACCAGAGGGTCCACCGTAAAGCATGTTAGGTTTAAAACAGGGTCCGACTGACGCTTTTCTTTCCAATAATGTTACTTGACTATTTGCACCCATATTCTATAAACACAAGAATTTAACATTGTGTGTATGTTTTTGGAAGAATATGTTTGCATTTACAATTAATTTTACCTACAATAAAACACCATTGCGATTACAACTTTTGTTACACTTTTAAGACCACGACCACGGACGAACATACATACATTCACACAGATTTATTAACTCGCACACCCTTTCGATCGGGCCCATAAAATTGGGTAGTGTAAAGCCCGTTTTAACTACAACCTGTGAGTGCGTAGTACCTACTTATACGTAGGTAACGCGCATAAGTTGTAAACAAGTGCAGAAGTCGTTGCACTTTCACGCCGCACTGCATTACGCTCATATTGAATGAACCGCACCACTCGACCTTTATCGCGATTATTCACGACGCGACCCGTGTGTTCTGGCAAAATCTATCTCCAGTATTTTCGTGGTTTTGGTTCAAGAGCGTTCGTGACAATATACTAGCAGTGTTCCACGGTTCCATCCGCATAGATAAATTTTAAGAGCGCGCGCGCGTTCTTCCAACCGACCGTGTAAAATTTTAAACCAACGTAGCGTATTCCGTATTACACTATAAATGAAAAAATTACACTATAAATGAAAAAAATAACCGACAAAAAAACTGAAAACGAAAAAATATGATTACCGACTGATATAATTTCATGTGATCATGATGAAGTCAGTTCCTTCTATTTTTATTGAAAATATGGTTTACTCCATTATACATACATTATACACACTTATTTAATTAATTACGAGTCCCTCAAAACAAAAATAAATTATTTAACAGAAATAAAAATCAAACAATGCATGCGTGGTACAAGCGTCAAGTAAATGAATATGTTCGAGCGGTCGCACGGATCATAACAGATGACGTCATCGTAAAGAATCGAGCTGGAGCGTTTGTTACCCGTGATCCACCTAACAAATTCACATGGGTGGACTCCGGAGACTTGTCCTGACCCTTGGTTAACCTGGGTGGATTAAGGGAACTTTTTATGACCCTTGGTTCACCTGCGTGAACCACGGATATATTATATCATTGAGGAATAATACGCCTATGGTTTGTTTTAACCAATATGTTGTCATTTTAGTTTCCTACATAAAAAAAATGTCAAAAAAGTACCCCGATACCATAGCTAAAGTTCTGGTTATAAAAATGGAAAGAAAAAGTCTTGTTTAATAACTGGTTCTGCATAAGATTTTGATGATAATATATCCGTGATCCACACAGGTAAACCAAGGGTCATAAAGTCCCCTTAGTCTACCCAGGTGAACCAAGGGCCTGACCCTTGACAATTCTCCGGAGCCCACACAGTCGAACTTCTGAGGTGGACCACGGGTAACAAACGAGCTGGAGCGCGCGTTTCCAAGGAGCCGTTTAGAAAAACTTTTAAATGCATAATTGCTTGACGGATTTTAATAATTTAATAACTTAAATGCTCAATAATTTATTGTGTATACGATGTACTAGTAAAATTCAGGTTTGATATGTGATTTATTCTCATTATGAAATATTCATTAACACTGTGGTGCTAGTAACAAGTTCCCATTTATTAATATTCTACCAACCTGCAAATGAATCTTATCGAGGTATTCGCTATCTTCCCATTTGATTTCCTTTTTCTTTACTGCACTAGAATGTGTCGGTTGTTCCGTCTGCAATGTTAACACTCAAACCAGTAAAAAATCCCCTGTCCCATAAATCCCTGACAATCACTAGAAGAGGGATACTTGGATTTTTTTTCCATTTATCACTACCAGTTGGGATATATATGGAACTTTCTTTGCCACATATCCTTACTGATCCGCACTTGTAGGGATAATTGGATATTTTCTTCCATTTATCGCTACCAGTATGCGGCACCGGCGGCTTTAGACAAATCTAAATTTACTTTCATTAATTGAAATAGAATGATTTGTGAAATAATTATATTGTGTACTTTGTCTGTTTATATAATTGTCACTTATCTCTACAAGTATTACTTACGAAGGAAAATAGGAAAAAAAGTTGCACCCTCAAAATATCTGTAATATAGTATGATAAAGTGGAATATTTCTAATAAAAAATTCTGAGGTTAGATAAAATAAAAGTTCTAAATACAAAGAACAAAACGCTAATAATGTTTATTAGTAATTTTATGTACAGAACTAAATACACACGCGAAAATCACACACAAGTTTCTCATATCCCCAATAATTGCTAACTGCACCGGCAAAACCTCAACAAGTACAGTAGTAAGGCGATGCAGTGATGCGGAGATTATTAATGGCCAGCTAGTTTTAATTGGGAAGGTTTGAAAGAGATGCCGACGTAAAGTGACTGGCGGGTGTAATTCTAAATGCCGCTGAACTGGCGCGGAGGGATGTCTTCTTCGGAGGGGGGACTGTAAGTAACGCCGCAGCAGAAGAGTTGTCGCATGGCGCGAGAAACCCGCGACCCACGCGACTCACTGCGCGGCAGCCCGCCCGCCTCTTCATCGTCAGACTATAAACAAATAATTACGTCAATCTTCATCAAAACATTACGCGAAAGATCGAGAGATGCGTGTAACAATATTACAGGCGGGCTACCGCGCGTACAGACTATAAGCCAAATGACGAATACATGATCAAAACTAGGATCATTCCTATGCAACAGGAAACTGATAATATTATAACTTAGGTTATTAACCCAGCAAAAGCAAATAAAGGTGACAGCTATTTTAGACCGAGCTTAGCTAAGACAACGTTTTGTCATAAGTTGGTAAGTATCTATTCTTCACCTAAATTATGCCATTATACTATATTAGTATGTTTTTCGTGCCTTACCCATTCAGAATGTTCTTTAGCAGGTTCGGAAGTCCGTAGTTCTGAAATCTCCTCCGTTATGCTGTCATCATCTGCTGTTTTTTCTCGACCAGCTTTCTCAGCTGGTTTAAAAATGGATTCCTTTGACATTACTGTGTCGTGGTCTGGAATAGGTTGAGGTACTGAGGCGATGTTATCTTTCTAAAATCAAAAAAGCATAATGGTATGCAGACAAAATACACACTGGATCTAATAGGGTACGAGAAAAACTCAAAAATTCAATTTGCTTGCGTTACTTGGTTTAAAAACAATTTGTCCTCAGATGTGTTTTTATACAGACGGTCAAAGGGGCTATATGCTACATTATCATCCATTCCAAATATGTTGTATCCTTGATACAATTATTAATTTAACAGTAAATTATGAATTCAATGATTACAACATTAATAACAGTTTTATAGACAATTGAACGAATGAATCCATATCGCTTCAAATTATCTTTACTCATGCAATTTAACGAATAGGTTTGTCGTAAAATGGCAGTGATAATGTGGACAAGAATTTAAATGTGTCAAAATGAGTCGCATGTCACCCTGTAATTATAAGTAAATAGCCGATCCAAACGTGGGTTTTCCCCAAATAATGGTGAAATATCTTATGGCAATTATAATAAAGCCTAATATGTACCTACAGAATAACTATTTATTTTAATTAATATCAAATTGCTATATGATAATTTCCCAAACTAAAATGTTACCAATGGTGCAACGTGGGAGAGTAAGATAGCTGATATCTTCAGGTATTATCCTATCCATGTTGCGTTAGTTTTCGCTAAATATTTTCTAATAGCTTCATTTATTTGCTTATTAGGGTAAAATGTTTTTTTGTTACAATACAATACGTTTATTACAAAGAGTTCTCTGATTTGGATCTCTATAATCTATCTATTAATAGTTTAAAAAGGAAATCAAATGGTATATTGATGGAAAAACCAAAAAAATAGATTTTATGAAAATTTTAATTTATATAATTTTAGATAAAAACAATATTTAGCATATCTGACTATGTTAAGACTTTCTTTGCTACTATTAACTGTTATAAGTTTTGGGCACTGTTTGGTCTATTAATATATTTACATATATGCATGTACCTCAATATTATGTAAATGACTGTTTGTTGCCAAAATAAATAAAAAAATGGCTGTCACAAATATGTTCATTAGTAGAGCTAGGTATACTACGAAAAAGTTAATTGTTTGCTGCAAAATTAATACTGAAAAGTAAAATCTACCGAGCCCACCTGAGCGTCCAAAAGAACCATCGCTATATCTTCTGGTGTAGATCCCTTTCTCTTTGTTGATGATAACTTTTTCGAGGGATGACTTTGCTTTTCAGAAGTTACTCCTGTAAAAAGGCCGAAGAATTAGTTCAGATAAAGATTTTTTCAAAACACTTATTTTAATTATCGTCAAATGGTGTAACCCATTTTTACTTAACCAGTACTTGTATTTGGCTGGCCTACATCATCTCAATTATATTTCTTAAAATAACCATACACGAGAGTTCGTGTTGTTGGTTATTTGGTACTCAGTAGTACTGTTTGTATTTGTGGAGTTCCGTTGTATCCAAGGGGATAATTATATATTACCTTTAAGTTGACCAATAGATTTTTTTATTGTATATTATAAAGACTGACCGCGTGCACTTTCAGCGTATTCTGGCGCGCCAGTAATGTCGTTTGCCGTAGTATCTTTGAGCTCTTCCTTTACCGCTGAAATATTAAAAACAAATCTTTGAAATAAAACTAGTTTTTACGGGTTAATGCACGAACTTTATTTATTTATTGACGTTTCGTAGCCTGCACACACACTGCAAGACCATCAGATACTATTAGTTCTTTTTGTTTGCATAATTTAACATAAGAAGGAGATAGAAAGCCTCTCTTGAGTTTGTTTCGCCGGTTCTTCTCAGAAAGGTCTCCCAATTTTGGAACCGGTGGTAGTTTACGGTAGTTAGGGTCAAATAAATAAACTCAAAATTACAAAAAAGAATTTAAATAAAATACTTTATTAAGTAAATTTAATAATAAATTCATACATAGACAATAAAACTTTAAAAATCGAACAATGAAATAACGGAACGCTCAATAAAAGTCTTTCGAAGGTAGCTCGACAAATTAAATAAAAATTTAATTCTGACGACGTAGCCTGTAAAGGCTACGAAACGTCAATAAATAAATAAAGTTTCGTGCATTAACCCGTAAAAACAAATAAATCTTTGAAACATCTTCGTCAGCCTATTAATATCCCAACCGCAGAGACACAGCCCGGTTCCATGTGAAGATAACAGGTCATGACCCACCGCCACCACACGGATCCGGTAGGACAAAATCCTACATTGGAGATCGCGAAAGTATTTTTTTTGCCGCTCGTTATGAAAATGACATCTTTTCCACGATTGCAATATAGGTAGGTACATGATATATTTACTAGTTCTTTAAAACCTTTAAACTTAATAACCGAAAAAAATATATTACATAAATTGTATGCCTGAAGAAGAGGTATTTATGTGAAACATGAGAATTTTGCGTTAGACAGTGATACGACAGTGAATTCATAAGCACTACTACTTCTATCGTTCTTGTGTTAAAAACATAAATAAAAAAAAGTTGTCCAATAATAAACACCGACAAATCAATGTCAATACATTGAAAATAAGCTAAATTATACTATATAATTTTTTTATAGGTGTACTAAATAGCATAACGTACTGTGTATGGTATCTGGACACGCACAACTAAAATATACCTACCTATTTATTAGGCTTTGGTGTGTGAATTCAGTGAAAAACTACATCACTTTAAAAGTTCTTACAAGGTACGGCCGGAGCCCGCGACCGCTTATGCATGTCTGGGTTGGCTTCCTCTTGCAGTTCCGTGGGCCTGTACGGCTTGTGTCTACTCGGCGCTGTCTGCTCCACCACAACAACGGGAACGCTCTCCCCACCTGTCTTCTCTTGTTCCGACATCCTCCACTAAAAGCTAACCATCCATAGGACTTTCAATCTCGAAAACTTCAAGAATTTCTCACAAAGCCGACAGCCAAGGATTTTTATTTTGATAATTATAAACGGGTGAAATGTCACTCTTTGTAAATTTTGACAGACCACTTTGCTGTTTTTTTCAACACTTCCATTTTTGAAAGAGATTCACCAAAAAGTATTTGGCTATTTGTAGGTTGCATATTTTTTGATAACTACTATTTATATCTTTTTATTAAGCAGCCCCAGCGAAAAAAACTTGTCTGCTTCATAATAAAGACCTACTACAAATTACGTAACCACCGTGTCCAAGCAGACTGGGAAAGTACAATATCTGCCACGCGCACATAAAAGTTTGTTTACAAACATTCTCACACAGGTTCAAGCAGCAAGTAAGAAAATAATTCTAATTAATTAAAATCTTATTCAATACGGAGTTCCACCTAACCAGTCAGAATAATTTCATTTTTATTTGAAGGAGAAGTAAGAGTAGGTAACGACAATAGGAATATGAATGATTTTATCAAGGGATTTTTTAATATTTTATTTAGTAGTTTACATTCCCGTAATCTAATATATAAAATTCTCGTGTCAAGGTGAGCGTAATTGAACTACTGCGAAACGGATATATTCAGTAGGTCTGAGATTCGGACAACATCTATTTTTCATCCCTCTAAATGTTAAAGGTGGTCCTTTTTATTTTTTTATGTATATGACATCATTCAATAATGCAACCCTAAATTTTCACCATTCTACCATCAACCCCTATTTTTGGTACGAAAATGGCGGTACGAAGTTCGCTGGGACAGCTAGTATAGTATAAGAATATTCAACGTCGAAATAATTGTATAATGTGTCTAATGATAACAATAAATAGTATAATAATAAAAAAGCCACCTTGTATAAGTTTAAAATATCCTGTGAACACGGCGCTTGTTTATTAAATTATTGTTATGAACTTCTGATTTTTGAAAGTCCCAAAGTTCTTTAGCACGTTTCAAAAAAATATTTCTAGCTCAAAAAGATTTTGTTTTATTAAAAATTGATGATATACGGAAATTATTGAGTTATTCAAATATTGAAAGTTGATATAAAAATATTTGAATTACATGCTTGCAGTATTACCTATTCTCAAGCCATTTCAGAAGGAGTTCATACCCATTATCCATAAACAAAGCTGAATATGACGAACTGCATTCATTGGCCTCTTTTGACTCATCTGCATTTGTCAGAATAATGTAAAATTCTTTTCTTTTCTATAAAAATTATTGCTTTTCTAACCATTTTGTAGTCGACGGAGTTAATTTTGTAACTATGCCGGGAAGAAGGAAAATTCAATGTGATGGAAAATAAACCGATTCCATCCAAGAAGTTAATGTCCATCAAAGAAGAAAAATTGTTGCGCAGTTTTGACTACGATAACTTTTTGAAACAGACAGAGATTCCTAAAAAACCACCTGCCTTAGGTAGAAACAATATACGTTACATATTCACAGAATATTATTTACTGAGTCGTGCAATGGTTTCATAAATATCCATTATTATTCCAGACTTAGAAATAACACCAAGAAAATTAGCACGCCATAGAAATTCACAAAAAGTACTAGTATCTATAAAACCTCGTCGTACTCCTTCCATCCATACTATTTACATAGCTGAAAAAAGTAGATTTGAGTGCATAAAGGTAAAAAATGCAGTGTTTTGATTTTGCTGCTTTGTTGCTTTTAGACTGTGTATATAAAATTATATTCTCATTCCAGGGTCCTAAAAAATCAGGATCACATCTGGGTATAGGCGATCACTCTTCGTTCACTGCTAGTAAGTACCTTTATCTTTTATGATTATTTTAGAAACAACTTTTTCTAATCTGTGTTTCATTATCTCTATAGGTTTCTCGGAGGATGATCCCAACGAAGTAAATTTTTTCTATGTTAGAATACCACAAGATAATAATAAAAGTGAAATAGAATTAACGAACGAGTCTTCATTCACTGATCAGGTAGAAACCTCTACATCTGTTTCAAAATCATCCCATTGTGAAGTTTCACAGCAAGCTTTGTATAATACTAGAAAGAGGTCGGTTGAAAAATGTTATGTTTATACCCAACCACAACTAACCATGAACCTTCCACGAAACGAAGTAAAAACTGATAAGACTAAAACTATTTCAAAGAAAGTAGACGTTGGTACATTTGTTTATACCGATACGTCAACTGAAGACTCGGGCTTACCTTCTACTAGTACAATCAGTAAATTAAATAAGAGAGTAGAAGTCCTTGAACGTAAACTTATGAAGCAAGCTATGGTGTTTCGTTCGTTGAATCCTAATCTACCTTTGTCTTCGTCAGATGAAGAGACCAAGGATTACATTATGAAAGCATCTGGAAATGCACGAGCGGGTTGTAGCTATATAGAACAGTACAGTCATGTCCCTAAAACTTCAGCTTTTCAAAGATATACACACCAAGCAGCTCCACTATCTCCCAGTAAAGCCACTACTTTGGAAAAAGAACATAATTCTGAGCAATATGGGCGAGATTTTACAACATATGATGGTATCACAGCAAGAGGTAGGCGTCAATGCGCTTCTGTCCCTTGTAAACGAGACGAAATTCCTAGAGTAGCAGCGGAAAGAGTTCATAAAATACGTCATAGGTTAAATCCAGTCCGTGATTATAGATTAATGGACACGATTCATTATTTAGCTCAAGGCGAGTTCGCACCACGAGATGACGGCATAAAATTGACACCATCAAGGGAAGCTGTTTTGAGTGATATAATTTATGAAGATGTCTGTCGTACACACTGGCCAAACGCTCGACTATGTCGACGGATACCACATCCAGAAAGATGTAGTACTCGATGTGAATTACAACGATTGATTGATAATCTTTTACGAGAGCGAGTAGCTCATGTGGAAAGAAGAAGACGACGCCACTATAGGATTGTCAAATTGAACCACAGACACGAGAACTGCAGACCAGTTGGTAAAACAGGCGATATTATTGTGGCTAGTCATAAAAACAAAAATACCAATGAGGAAAAGAATTTAATGAGTGATTATAACACCCCAAGTGCTTCAATGGCAGAGAAGCGACGACACGAACGAGATTCGCGAAAAGGACCACAAAGTCACGATCGTTTCATGTTCCCTGAAATACGACGAAATCGTCGCAACGAACCAGACGATAGCACTCCTGGGCCAAGTCATGCGGGACCAAGATCACCGACTAACAGAGAACAGACATGTTGTTATCAAACATCAAATCATATAAAAAAAGATAAAGTTATGGGTGAGCATACTACAGACTGTTCTGGCAGGGGAGGAATGGAATATTTTACCAGTACTAGCAGTAGCTGTGCTGCTAGTAAACAGAGGCCTAAGAATCCTCGACTAGTAGTCAAAAAGGAAACCTCTCATCGAAAATGCCAGTCAAAAGATGGACCCGACCTAGAGCATTACATAATTTTACCAACATTAGTTGTCCGGACGCCATCTAATGTAAAGCGCCAGAAGAAATTCAATGAATTGTATCACCGCATTTTTAATGTACAAATTAATGACAGTAAGTAAGGCATGAAAATTTTTTTTTATCATTTGGGCATTCCAATGAACTTAAAAATAAGTTTTAGAGTCTTTATTGTAAAATTAATAAAGAAAAAGAGGTATGGTACTGTGGATTATCTGTTCGAATTTAAGAAGAACGCATTTTACAAAAGACTGCCACATTAATATTCAGTATTTTCTTTCAATATTATGGAGTTCCTACAGTGAATAATAACTCCATAGTTTCACACTGTGATACACAAGCACGAAATTAATAATACGTTGAATATTTAAATAACTTTGTTTTTTTCCAGCTCGAAATGATCCCGGGCCGAGTCAATCTGATCAACAAAACTCGAAAACAAATTTTAAGAAAGACATCGGTTTCAATATCAACATAACGCTATCGGACAGCTCGCGTTAGATGAATACCTACTAAATTATGAATCATTGACCTATTTCTGAATTTAAATCGATAAACAATTACATTTATTACAATATTATATATCTTACAGAAGTGTTTAATTTTGGGCGAAATGCTTGTTTGCCTTGTTATAATAACAAGAATTTGAGTATGAGGATAAGAAACAAGATGTATCACTAGAATTAATTAAAGAGATCAAAATTTTTACTGAATTATTGATTCCAGAAAATCTATAAGCTCTAAACAAATACCACTCAATAAAATTATGTATTTGCGTGTGTGAAATTGAACGTCTTATCTGGACTGTTTAGATTATTTTTGAAATCAAATACCTAAATTTTGATGGAGCTTCACCTGAAACAGATCGTAAATTTTATATTATTAAGAAGTATTTCATTATTGGTAAATTTCAAATTTCATTAGTAATTGCGCAAAGCTCGGGTAGTTTATTATAAAAATAACTAAAATCAATATAATACAATTCAGGGCCAAGTAAATGATATTGATAGATTCTAGCAGGGTCGTGCCTTGGGAACAAGCAAGTGTCGATACTTAAGTATGTGTTGTTATTATAGGTACATTAGAATCGAAGACTGGCACACATGATGATGACGTACGTTAAACTTTTTTATTAGTTTATAATCTACTTTAGAATATACTACTCATAATTTGAAAAGGCAGACATATTTAAAGATCATCATAAAATAGCAATCCTCAAAATAAATAGTAGTCCTCAAAAACATCCTATTTGTAACCTAACAACCATTAGGCTACTAACCCATTTATATATTTAAGGATAATTTAGATATTTCCCATTTAAAAACTTCGAGGCTTGTAACGACGTCGTGTTACTGAAATCCGTATAAAATAAAGGGGTTGGAAGACGAATTTCAACAAAAAAAGAGGAAAGTACCTAATGAAAATAGTTTCTATGTTCGGAGATCCTATACCGATTTGTATTGTCACCATTCACTAATCAGGAAGTTCTCGGTTAAAACACGCTGACTAATGATGACACCACAGAAAATCGCAATACCCTGACCTACTTTTGCACATTTACGGAATACCCAACTTCCTGATAATAATAATAATAGAGCAAGTATATTCACGAATGTAATAAATAACTAACTCAAATAAAATACATTTCCTCTTTGTGTCCTTAATATCAGTATAGGTACCCATTGATGGTATAATCAGCAACAGGTCTCAGCAAATTTTTCCAACAATTTTTTTTGCTTTATCTTCTTCAAATTAGATTTACAATTTATTAAGGAAACGTGCAAGTTTTTTG